TGTAAGGGTGGCCCGATTTGTTGTCTTAGCACAAATTTCATTTATCGACTCCATTTGTATTTTTGTAACGACAGATATTTTGCAGATATTGATTGGAACGTAAATATCTTGAGTAGAGCTGATATAGTTAATATGTTAGCTGTACGGTTGTCGTGGTAGGCAAGTACGTTCTAGTATTCAGATGCCATAAACATTGTTGTATCAATTAATTTCGTGTAGAATTGTAACACATTATAGGACGATATTTAATTTGATGTATGGAGACTATAAAACTTTGATAGCTGATTGGCTGTCAATAAAGAGAGTATGCTTTTAGTTTCTGATTTATGTTTTTCCAATAGCATATCAGCTGCTTGTATTTTAAGTGATATCTTAAGTGTTCTCATTACTGAATATATTCTAAACCCAACCTTGTTATATAGTTTAGAATTGCATGTGTTAATGTTTTGACCGAAAACTCTGGGAGATTTACCTACATTGTCACTCGTCTTGTTTCTGTATTGTTTGGTTGAGACATGTGCTACACATAATCTTTTGTTTGAGAACTCTTAACTTTAGCTTTAATTTCCCAATAAAAATAACTGTAGAGTATAAAGAATTAAAAAATATGATCAATCGCTGCTATTTCTTTAAAGAATACATCGCATACCCTATCCTTTCATTTTACTTGAACTTATCTTAAATTTTTAATTCTTCAATTTTAAAATAAATCAAAATCATTTGAAATTAAATTACTTCGACTTCCTCAATGCTTCTATATGTAAACTCTTTAATTATTATTAATACTTAACTTGTTCTTCCTGCAATTATTCCAATTTCCCAAAATAATTTAAGAAAAAAAAAATTATTATAGTAAAATAGTAAATAGTAAAAATATAAATTAAATGTAAATAAAAGTATTTTAATTATAAATATTTTAAAGAAACTGTAAAGAAAACATCAAGAATTGTAGTCTTAAGAAATTATATTTAAAATCTATTAGTAAATATTATTAGTATTAATTAAATTAATTGTTTAGTATGTATTTATTCAGAGATGTTAACACATATAGAAAATTATTTATATATGAGAAAAACATTTTTATTGAAAGCGTGACATAAGTTCTAAATTAATTGTACTAATACAAAGCAAAGGATAACAGTTTTTTTGTATAAAAATTGAAAATTGTTATCATATACATATATTAGAAATATCCCTACAAATATATATATATATATATAAATTATAATATAGAGTACATATTAAGTTTTAAAATCAGAGTAGAAGAAAGATTTCAAGAAATTATTTTAAAAAATAAAAAATTAATTATTGTACAAATTACTAAGGATATATAACTCCGTCATTTAACTGAAAATATGCTTTATTAGTTTCTTTTTCTTTATTTATTTTTTTTTCAATTATAATAATTATTAAGCAGTTTTTATAAATTAACATTACAGGATGGTTAATACCATCTATATTTAATTATTTAATTATACATTCCTTGCTTTTATCTTCATTTTTATTGTTTATTAAAGACATTGTTTTTTTTTTTAATTTGCATGAGCATTTCATCTCCCTCAAGATCACTATTCAATAGTTATGATTATCAGAAAATGATCGGTTCTACTATTAAATAACTTTAATATTGAAGTTTAGTATAGCTTTTGGAATATACCTATGACAATCAGTCAACTCTAAATTAAACATTTTCTTGCCATTTCCATTACATGTATTTAGTTTCCGGAATTAAAAATAGGTGCTTAAAACTTAGGCAACTAAACAGAACTGGTTGTTAACGCAATCACTATTAGATAACTAAAATTTTTTTAATAATATGATTTAGTAGCCTACATCAATACTATTAGATTCTTTTTCCACATCCATCATGTGTCTTAAACAAAAACATAACGATCTACAATAATTAGCGGATTTTCAGTAGTTGAAGTTTAGACAATTTTTGAGATCTTTCTTGTAAGGAACTATTTTTAACTCGAAACAACTTAGAAAACTGTCTATCTAATCCATTAAAGATTATTTTATAAGATGAACTTCTGTACCAGTAAACTATACGCTCTGAATATAATCTTAGTGATAATGCATATATTTGATTCATAATAAAGCTTTCGTCAAACTTTAAAATTCACTAAATCTAAATATATATTGTTTTTGATTTATATTATCTGATTCTACAAATATTTAATTATGAATTACTTCAAAACCCTAGATTTGCAAGCAAACAATAATAGTTTCTTCTGGTATGAAAAAAAATGGTAGTCTACTGTGTGATTTCAGTGTTATCATTCAGATATGTTTATTAAATAATTCTGCTATATTCCTGCTATGTAAGCAGAACTAACAACAAACTTAATGCAATTAATTTCTTTAAAAAATCGTATAATTTTCACGTTATTTATTTTATAATTACAAGTAATAATTTAAATTCGTTTATCTATATTCTTCAAACAACGTTAATTCTTAAATTCAATAGCATAACCTTTCCAACTTTTGAAAGTATTAATCTTCGAAACACGATGAATGTCCACAACATGAAGAACAAAATTAACAGATCTTCCAATATCATTATCGTTACTTGAATCCATATGACACAAAGCCACATTTTCCCATATCAACTACGCGGAATCAAATCATGTTATTCTTACAACTAACAATCAAAAATAATACATCTCTGAGGTCCCAGAAATCTTCATTGGCTATTTTTCTTTATAAACTCCCGGAAAAGAAATCACAATATTTTTAAGACTAACATAACATAAACACCCTTTGAATCCTACAAGACTCTCTTCGTTTTACATCTTTGATTTCTGTGCCCATTTCTGTAATCAACAACATTAAGTTATCATCTTGTTGTAACCTGCTGGGACCTGTAAGTAGATAACATGAAAGGATATACAAGACGATTACATGGGTGGGAAATTGGGTAAGTAGTGGTCGGTGGAGATGGAGTGGGGAAGAGAATTTTGTGGATGGGTTGAAATTGAACGTTAGCCTGGATCCAGCAGGAGAAACCTGGCCACTTCAATGCGGTGCATCCAAAATTAGGTTGTAATTATCAGTTTTTCCTATTGTCGGCTCAGCCTACTTCTAAAAACATCAAATTCTTTTACTAATTTCTAAATTACATTCAAAATATTTTGCTCTATATATCCTATATAAATTTTGTATATCAATTTCCTTAATCTATCTATTCTATATCTATTTTGTGTAAGTTATCCGCATCACACTTTTTTAAGTTCACAATAATTTTTTAATTTTAAAAATATATTCTTATTTCAAAAATTGTAAGGCTCTGCAATTTATATTTTTTCCTTAAATATACAAATATTTTTTTATTATACTTGCTTTATTAAAATATAATAAATAATTTAAAATAATTTACTTATAAATTTATTTAAAATTTAAACAAAATTTTCAGAAAGATAAAATATTTTATAAAGGCCGAAAATCAGAAAATATTGTTTAAATAAGGAATATTAAATTTAAAACTTATTTATTTGAGAAAAGTATTTAAAAAATAAATTTTATAAAAATAAATTACTTAAAAAATAAATTATATAAAAATAACTTATATAAAAATATTTAATATTGTATAATAATAAGAAAATTTTAAAGAAAGAACAGGTGACGAATTTTAAAAATAATTTTACTCAAATTTGAACACAAATAATATTGAATACTTCTTAATTCAATTTTTGAAGAAGTCCTAGAATTTAGTTAATAAAAAAAAACTGTACAAAATGTTTTAAAAGTAGAAAATTATTAAAATTTCACTTTAAGTGCAAAATATAAAAATTAAAGTTAAGAAATAAATATTTTATATCAGTTACAATAGTTATTTAAACTAAATTCCAATTTAAACTCCTCTGTGTGTCTATCTACTACTTCTAAATGATATCAATTTAATCTGTTATTTATTTCAAATTACATGCTCCTATAATTTGTCTTCACTTCTATGGCTTATCCACTTATACTATAAACCCATATAATAAATATGCGCACTGCATAATTAAAAATACTTAATAAATAAAATAACTTTTTACAACTGAAAGCAAGTCTTATATATCGAAAATGTAATAAAAATATATAATATATTATTTTATAAAAATTTACTTGTATTAACATGTTTATATTTACATTTCCAAAAAAGAATATCATGTTTTAAATCAAAAACAAAATTCCTTAAAAAGTTATAAACGTTTAAAAGGACCAATAATCCATTTAAATATATCAAACAGACATCATATTAAAATATTTATTAAATTGTTAAACGTTTACAAAATAATCAAAAAAAAAATACATATAGGGAAATTTTAGAGTAAAATTTTAAATAAACTGAATTTCTCTCTATACAATATTTAAAATACATGTATAAAAATTTTTCAAGCTTTAAGAAACAAAAATCAAATAATTGTTAACGTAATAAATAAATTCAAATATAAACAACTATTTATGAAACAACATTTATCTATACTAATAACTATGAAGGTTAAATACAAAATGTATGTTTTTTTTCTTTTGAAAAATAAGGAGAAAATATATAAACAAAATAAAAATAATACACAAATAATATTTGTTTTACTTTAATCTTTTTTATAAATTTAGTAAATAACGATTTAATAAATTTATAGAAATCTATATAAAATTTTGCAATTTTAATTATATATTAAACCTCATATTTTTTTTAATTAATTCAGTATAAAACTTGGCGCTGTCAAAACAAAAATTTTTGAATTGAATAATTATTTTATTTCGTTAATTGCAATTAAATTTAAGCATAGTACATTCTATATAATATGAAAGCATACAAATAACTTTTATTACAATAATTTTTTTTAATATATATTAACGTTTAATTTATAATGATAACTATATTTTTCTGTGAAAAATAATTTTTATTACAGTATTTCTGAACATATATAATAAAATTTATAATAAATAATTTTAATTTAATTTATTATTTCAAAAATATTAAAGCATTATTATAGTATTTTTTTAAGACTTCTAAATAAATTTATTTTTTGCTATGAAATAGTTGCTAAAGAAAATCGGTCCATCGTGCTACAATAACATTGTTTCGATTTGTAATATTGTGAATATAGGATGCCGAAAATTGCAATACATATTTTAATATTGAAATAAAAAATATATATGTGTAAAAAAGCATATAACATTAAAGCATAATTCGTTAAATGAATTTTATCTCATTATATCTTATATAAAAATTATTTCTAAGTATTTCAAAGCTACTAAATGTTTAACCATATTAAAATTAAATAACACTTCAATTGTTAGTATTTATAAAATAGTCCCTTTATAGAAACTTTAAGTGTATTTTGTAAAATCACCAGGTTGTTCTTCATTTCCAGCACCAGAAGGACCACTTTGATGGGAACTATTTTGATTCTCAATAAGCTATTAATTTCAAGCAAATAATTAGTTATTTTTATCTAAATTTTATATAAATTATAATAAATTACCAATCCCCGCAATCTCTTAATGCAACGTAACCGTTCCAACCAATTTGAGGCATAAGGTTTTTCCTTTTTTAAACTCTGATAGACATGCGATGCCAACTGGAAAGTAAATGAATTGAATGTAATAAAAATCTTAACTGCCAATTAAAGTAGAAAATAATATCATTTACATTTGCATGCAAAGCCATTTGCCGTGCTAATAATGGTGCACTTCGATCAGACACAATTTTTGGTTCAGGATGACACACAAGTTTACATATTTCTTCTCGAGCCTTCACATAAATTCTATTCGTGTTTAACTCTAAAGGTTCAACTATAACGCAGGCGTAGCTAAATTGCCCCTTAGAAATCGATAAAAAAAATGTTTAAAAAATTATATGAATTATTTAAAACGTATATAAATTGATATTACTGATATAGTGTTTAATTTGTATTCTTTTCCACTTTCATTGTAGATTATATGCACAAAATCGTTACCGATATGTTTCTTTTTCTCATTGCAATTAGGATCTTTTTTCAAATTTGTAGGCATTAGTGTCGCAACGTGAAAAGTAACTTGCACAATATCATCTTTCCAAACATATGTAAATTTTCCATCAGCTCCTCCAGTATCTAAACCAATAAATAAATTATTTTGTTCCGCTTCTTTTAAGCTAACCAAAGTTCCAATGCCACGTAGAAATTCCACATATCTTGTACTGCCATAAGAATTTCGTAATATTTCTACAACATTATTACACTGTCCCTGACCCACATATAGAACACCAATTTTATGCCTCTCGAATGGTGGTAGTAAATCCAATACCGTTAACTTACTCATATGTTCGGGTGTAACTTTCAATGGCATATCAGTTGTGTCCATTTGACCAGTGTGAAATAATTGCATAAAAATGAAACTTGGACTCATGCATAATTTCGTATTGGGTGGCTGTTTAGGCCCACCTAAACTACGGAAACTAGTTGCCGGTCGAGTTTTGCCGTTGACTTCGCGTACGACTGATATAGTTTTAGAACGTCCACGCATCATATCACCGCCATAATCTGAACTATTTACTGGTGTACCGCTAACTCCACCACCTATTGGGCCACCTCCGCTACTACTTGATTTGGCCAAACCTTGATGTGATGTGAACGAAGCAGTTTTTTGAGCACCATGCTTATCTAATCGGGGGGATAATGGTGGTGCTGGTGAGACTGGAGGCTTAGAAGTGACCATTTCTACGGCATGAGATCTAAGTGAAGATGCAGAAGCGGATTGCTGTACTGCTTGCGCATTAGCGCTACTAACATCATCCGCTGAATGTTGTTTAGGTGGTAGTGAATTCGTTGTCTCCAGCATTTTTGTACTAGTTTCAGTTTCTTTTTTAGAATCTGCTGTCTGTGCAGTTTGTGGCGGTGTAGAACCAGCAATTTCTTCTGGTATAGCTTCACAGCTAACACGCATATCTTTGGTATACTGTACGCTCTTTTTCTTTTGTTGCTGCAGTTCGTTGGAACTCAAGTCAGCACGTATTATATCTGCATCTAAAATCTGCTGAGAGAGCGGAGTAGGTTTAGATGCTAGAAAAGTTTGTCGCCAACTTGAACTCATTTCAGGACTAGAATTAACACGTCGTACAGGATTTCTTGCACGACTAGTTGCATCTTCAAATGCAGTACTGTCGTCTTCAGCTTCACCATCGCTAACACTACCCGATAGTGCATCTTTGCCACGCTTCCCAGTAGGTTTTGGTATATCTATGGCAGCAGTGCCCACTGTAGTCGATGATGATATTTCTTCTTGTCGTTGAAGCGCACGAGCTTTATTAAACGGTCGTTGATCTTCGATTGAAGTTTTTGTTGTTAGCGATTCTCTCGATATGCTTGCAGTACTTGCTGTTGGAATTTGTACTACTGGTTCTGGTTGTGTGGTTTCTTCATCTAAAAGTGAATTATGTGGTACTCGTACATCTGGGCCAAATACACCACCTTGTATAACTGGTAAAAAGAGCGATATCATATTATTTAATGGTATATCTTGTCCGAAACAGTCGTTCGCTATTGGATTTTGTATTCTGGTAATCCAAGATATATTACCAGTGGGACGACGTACCAAAATTTCGGCCCAGCCTGTGCACGAACGTATACAAACTTGTTGTTGTACTGATGGCATTTGCGTGGGTGATGCACTAACACTTGTAGTTGAAAAAGAATTACCTAACAATGAGGTACTACTACCACCTACACCTATATCAGTTGTTTCTGGATTTGAGCCACGACGTGATAATGCTTCTAGAGAGGCACTTGAACTATTTGAAGTTTGACGTTGTGTTGTGGCAGTATTTGTTGCGGCAGATGTTGAAGATGAAGATGATGTTAAATCTGTACTTCCAGCTGATTCATTACCACTGCTATGTTGTAAGCTTACTTTGGTGTAACGGCGGTCAAGCGCATATTGATCGCTCTAAAAACAAAGTTAATTAAATTATTTTAATAGTTAACATAGGTATTTTGAAGGAGTTTTACAGTTATTGTGTTATCATTTGCGGGTAAGCTTGTAACTTTGCCAAGTTGTGCGCAACGTTCACAAAGTCCATTTCGTAAAGGAGCCGAGGGACAGCCAGAAGTAGTAATAGTGACAAGATTATGTCCAACCAGCCATGTCTGAGAAAGTCCATCTTTAAGTATGTATTCAATAGCAGGCAACCTAAAAAAAATAAAACAAATTTAAAAAATGTAAGTCAGTAAAATCTAATCGCAATTTTGATAGATTTGACTCAACAAATTTTGCAACATGATATAGAGAATATTTATTTATGACATAACCCATATACCTTTAAAAACGTTTTGAGAACATATTATTTGTCTTATTTGTTTTTCTGATTAAATTTTTTTTTTTTTGTAAAATGTTTGCATCTTGAAATTCACCTTTTAGGTAGTGCAGAACATGGTGAGAAGGTATGCTGTGCCAAGAAATCAATACAAGTTTCAGTCAATTCGGCATGGAAACTCTTTAGGCTATCATTCATTCGGGGGCGCATATCAGAATCGTTACGTATGTTAGGTATACGGCTTCCTCTTTCAGTTAAGCTTGTACTGCGCTTTCGATTTGATGAATCTTCGTTCAGAGTATTAAAGTCTTGTCGTTGAACGTTTCGTTTGATATCGTCAAATAACATATTTGCATTACTTTGTATAGACTACAAACAGTTAATTAATAATTGCTTTAAAAATTAAAATTTCTTTAATTAATTACCGAAATAATATAGTGAACAAAATTTTTCCGTAACTCCAATTTACATTTCACAAACCATCCGGCTATAACGTGATGTGCTAGTGAAACCGCATAATGGTCATACTTATAGGGCTTAGTGTATGGTAGGGATATAGCAAAAACGTACATGTACTGTCTTGGTGTAAAGTTCGTAAAGAGATGATTGGACAAACGACTCAAGACTGAAATGAAAGAGTTAGTTTTGTCAATATTTAAAATCAGGCAAATTTTTTTTAAATAACGCATTTAGAAGTAAACTTTGTATATATTTTTTATTTAAAAATCATTTTTTGTTAATAAACTTGTAGTCTCTTTAACTGGAACAACTTGGGCTGTGATAGTCTAAGCGCTAGTATTTTAATTTAGACTTAAATATAGTATGAATTTTTTTTTGAGCACTTAAATATTGCTGATTTTACAACGCCAGAAACTAAGTGAAGATTATGATTGCAAGAACTATGGCAATACTATAAAAAAAAAAATATGTGGGGTATTACTTATGGCGGTTACGATTGGTAAATCTAGATTACATCTAGATTCAATCTAGATTTAATTTCAATCTCTTATATTTTTCATAAATACATACATATGTAGAATCGAATCTTGCTAGTATGGCAAAATATCTAAAGTTTTATAAATTAATCTCGAGTGTTATACATGTCGCTCAAGATTTACTAATCGAAAACGAAATCTCTATTGAAAAAGTTGCCCTAAATTTGCCAATTGAAAATAGCATTAAATTTAAAATTGGGTTTTCTTTCAAAATTAGTTAATTGCTAAGAAAACCAGTAACTTTTAAGTTACTAAAACATCACTTTAAATCTTATCTAAGTGCGTATACAAAAACTAGAAATGTTCCTTTAGTTTCTAATCAAAACAAAAGTATGTATTGTCAAACTGATCATAATTGTCATGAAATTTTGACCAAATAAATCAAGTAAATACTATTCGTAAACCTGAAACCATTAATACACGACACTAATAGAAAACGATATATTAAAAGTTGTATTCTATATTTATTATCAATATATTATAATACGTACTTGATAAAAACTCCAGCACAGGTATTGCAACAGATATTGTATCTGACATTTTACTCATCTGTAATAGTATTTCCGGTAATCTACGCATTAAAGCCTCAGGCATTTCCAAAACCATTATGGTCATAGCATTGAGGGAAACGCTTGCCATGCTTGGAACAATACCTTGTATTAACACCGATATAATGGTACTTTGATGCCCAGGTTGAATGAATTGATGATAGAGAACTAAAGAAGCAATTGCCGGTAATATTAAAGAACGAAACTCATCAGTATTTGGTTTGTAAGAAAAATGTAAAGATTTATTGCTCTCTGGGCATAATTTAAATAATGCCACTGCCAATGCTTCTATATCATTTCCCTGTATTAATGCTTTGTTCTGTAGTACTTGCGGTAATTTTCTGATGACCAATTTAAAAACTTCAAAATCTATTTAAAAGAAGAAATTTCATCATGAATTACCCTAGTATATATAAATAATTAACAGTAATTTTCAAATGCAATACCTCTATCATGTTCTAAACATTTTACTATAATCTTACAAGCTCTTCTTATCGAAATTGTGGTAAAATGCGTAGATGACACAATTTCGTGTGTTGTCAACTGTGATACGACTTGATGGCGTTGATGTTGATGTGTCATTCCGTATAATGGTAAACTGGAATCAATACCAAGATAACAGCTAAACGTGACCAAATCATTATTAGCTGGATCTGGATAGCCAATATGAAAAGAAGCATTGGCACGTGCTTTAAGCATCCAATTAAATATCTATTTCAATTGAAAGTAACAAAATTTCATTAAATTTAGAAGTAACTACATTTTTCACTTACCTTATAGCGAACAATATTTGTTTGCTCAAATATTTTTGGACGTTCATAATGCGATTCTAAATGGCCAATAAGTATATTAAATATTTTAATAGCGTGATAAGATGGCAAGCGATATAATTTTATAATGAAAACATCGATTAAACCATCAACTGCAGCAATCACATCCAAAATATCTGCTTCAGACTTGACATAAAAATCACCTTCTGCCAATCCTGAATGTAATTCGAATGGACGATTTATTAACTTTTCAAGTATATCCAAAAGTTCCCCACAACGTTTTGTATCACAGTGACTAGCGAAGTTTACCAATGCATTAGCTACAGCAACTCGTATATGAACATCAGCTTCATGCATAATATGCGAGAAATGAGGTATCACAACACGTTCCAAAATTTCTTCTTCATAGCTAAAGCGATTCATGTCCATAATGCGTACCAAAGCTTGTATGGTTCGAATGCGTATGTTCGTATTTGGCATTTTATAAAAACGATTTACAAAATCATTCAGTACATGCAACCATTGTGGACGTGTAGCAGTTACTTTCAATGCACGATATTCAATTAAACTCAACACTGACGCTTCGTGTCGGCCATCAGACACACGTTCAATTAAATCATAGATGCGATCAAGATTTGCAAGTATTTGCGATCGGTCTTCTTGCAAAAGTTTTTCTATACAATCAATGTTTTCATGGAAATTTGCCTGCAAGTACTGCAAACGTTCCTGATTAATGTTGATTTGTTCTGAAATAAATATATTTAATTAATGATTTTTTTCAACTATTTTAATTATTTACGGTAGTATTCAATATTATCCACAATGGCAAACATAATGTCACATATACGATCCCATATAATTTCTGGTAATTCCGTTTTATATTTGTTGATTACTTTACGTGCGCTTAGTATAACTTCAAAAGTGACAATAACTTGACGACTTTCCAATGCCTATATAAAAAACATTAAATAGTTATATATACAATTTAAATAGAGTATTCTAAAATATAAAGTAAGATCCATTCTTACTAAACTTACATGCAGAAAGCTTGTCAATACTGTAGTGGCATAAAACATTGTCGGTACTTGGAATATTAGATTGGAACCAAATATATTCATATTCAAGTGAAAAACTGCTCCTCGTAGCAGCTGTTGATCCTCATAGAGGCTTCTATCATTTAGGATGTTGCACATCATTTTCATAGCGTTGTAACCCAGCTGGGTGCCAAGCAAATTCTTCATAATCTATTAAAGCAGCATATACAGAAATTACAAATAGTAAATTATAAAAATTCCAATTTACTTTCAAAAATTTTTATTTAAATTATTATTAATCATCAAAAATAATGAGAACTTGAATTCATATAAGTATTGGAGTTACTTAACAGTTAACCTTTAGCAAATTTTATCAGACTAATATAAAAGAATAATATTCTTATAGGGAATCTCAATGATATTACTAGATTTTTTTCTTCCTTAACCTGGACCAACTTGCGTACAGAAAGATATCTACATATCGTTGAATCCTGTGTCGACATCCATTTAGAGATACGATATGTAGCAGTCAACATATCGTTTAGAGATGCATGGCCATCAAATACAGTCGTATATATAAATTGGACTAAACTCAAGAACTTTTAAGCAGTTTGACAGTCTGATAGAACGTATATATTTCTTTTTAATATGTTACCCATTTCGAGACTAGTTATAGCTTCTCTAAGAGCAAGCACTTCCATCTGAAAAACCTACAATATACGGATACTTAAATCCGTCCAAGAAAACTTCCCTGTTTATACTACTACCCATTTTAGAGACGTCAGTATACATGGAAGACGGTTTCTTTAAAAGAGAAACCTTTCGACAGCTAACTGATTGATATAACTAAAAATAAACTTTTTTTAATATTACAAAGAATATTTGTAAGCGTTAACTAAAATATATAAAGTGATAGGAACTAATCTACCTATGTCCTCGGTTACTATTCGATAATAACTTCGCCACCATAATTCCTTCAAGAGGAGATTGGGAGGCGGGTTTGCCTACAACTCTAGGAAAGATAGCGATCTACACCGACGGGTCTAAAATGGATGAGGGCGTTGGAGCCGGAATCTTTTCTACGGACCTAATGATTAGTAAATCATACCACCTCTCAGATTCCACCTCAATATTTCAGGCTGAAGTTTTTGCCATCCTTAGGGCATGTGTTCTTGCTTTAAATATGCGCCTTCACGGAAAAGAGGTCTGTATTCTAACTGACAGTCAGGCAGCTATTAAAGCTTTATCAGCAGTCTGTCTGTCATCAAGATTAGTAGAAGAATGTAAGGAAATTATTTCTGAACTAAGTGAGAGGTCCAAGGTTACTCTAGTGTGGGTTCCCGGGCATTCTAATATTGTGGGAAATGAGCGCGCCGACGAGCTTGCTAGGCTAGGCGCCTCTTCCACGGGTACCCCTATTTCGATCCCTGCCCCTGTCAGCTACGGGCGTAGGCTGATTTGTGACCATTTTTTGCGAAAGGCAAATAGTGAGTGGACCCTTACTCTGTCAGCAGCCAGATCAAGGACTACTTGGCCCATTTATTCCAAATATAGAACCTCTGACTTAATCTGTAGAAATAAATCTGAGGTTTCTAAGCTAGTATCTATCTTTACGGGTCACTGGTCCATAGGACGGCATGGAGCCAGACTTGGCCTTTCCTGTGGTACCTCATGTAGTGCGTGTCTACCAACACTTGAAGAAATGACACCAGAACACCTGATGTGTTTTTGTCCAGGTCTGGCCAGAACTAGGTTTAAGTTTCTAGGGGCCCCTTTCTTCAACTCACTTAGCGATATCTCCAGCATCAGCATTAGCCAGATTCTTGCCTTTGTTAATGCCTCTGGTTGGTTCTAGTTTGACTCTCTATCTACTACCCACTTTTACGAGGTTTTTGTGGACTCAAAACGGCTTTCATCCTTAGCTATTTGAGGAGGATTCGTCCTCCCTCCACCACAACTAACTAACTAATCGAATTTTTAGTATTGTAAAGCTTCTCCTTATAATAGAGATCTATTAATGAAGAGATCTATCAATCTCCACTATTTTTAATGTGTCGACAAATATTGCAGCGAATAAATTGTTATTTAACGCTTCACACTGTTGTATTACAATTCACTTCTATCAGATATAATCAGGAAAAAGATACAGCTAACGTCTGCAGCGAAAACTTTTCGAAACTAAACAGTTACTTATACATTAACCCATTTATTACTGATTGATACCCAAGATACAATTCTACTTCTTATGATAACAACACTTACCAAGTTCACCTCAATCGACTTTACAAACATTGTTTAATTCCGAATTCTTACCAAATTCGGTCTGATTGCATGTTTTAGTGATATAGCATATTTCAGTTGGAATTCAAAGTAAACATAATTATTGCTCATATAAATAGTGCTATTACACAGCAGATTGATAAATTTACACAAATTTGCACTGAGTGCATTCATATAACTGTGTACGTAAACGCATAAAATTATACATTTGATTAATTTATATGCTTAGATGAGTAGCCCTACTAACTCTAGTACTATAATTTCATGCATGTATGTACTAGCGGAAACTATCCGTACTCAATTAGAGTACTTAAATTAAACCATGTCAAGATCAACCAAACATTTTATATGTACAGAATAATTTTAGAAGCTATAAAATTCTAAAATTAGCGTTTTTAATTAAGAAGAATAATCGATTTTATTTAAATAAAGCAAATGATTTGTTCAATTATTTCAAAACGATTTTAAGCAGTGATGCCTCATACAAACAAAAATTAATAATTACATTTTTTTATAGCTTTTGTTTATTTAATTATTTTGTTAAAAATGTAATTAAAAAGAAAATTTATAACTAGCTGTTATACAATTATAATTGATTAATATAGACACAGAGGGTTAAAAATGCAAATCCATAATATGGTTTTCGTGCAAAAATAATTAAATATTATTTATAACATTTAACAATTTAGCACGTGTTAAATATGCTAAATCGTGAAATACCCTACTTAAAATAAAGATAATTTAATTTAACATATATTTCATACTAACAATTGAACATAAATTTAACTTCTTTAATTCTAATAGCACATTTACACTATCTCAGTCAGGCAGTTTTGCTCATTATAACCACTAATGAGGATAATTCACCATACGAAAATCATTCATATAAATTAGCTCATTTTCAATAAATCAACTCATTTAAGACGGAAATTGTCGAATGCAAACCTTTAAAATAAATTTCCCGCAATGGAAATGTATATATATGTATATATAAATGTATATAATTGATTTAATATATATATAATTTATATTTAATTTACATATTTAATTTTTTATGATATATTGTTAAGTGAAGTTTATAAAAGTTTAAAAAATTCGATCATCTGCATAAATGAGCTCATTATAATGTGAACATTTTCTCAATAATATAAATAATCAAGTGCCTTATTATATTATTTGGTGCAAAGAGAACAAATGCTTAGAGTTTGCATAAAAAATTAAGAGTTGTTATTAATGCTTTATCATATTTTAATATAAAGCAAAATATTTTTAGAAATCAAATAGGTGCAAACTATTTGCTTTAATAATATATAATCTATAATATTATACATGAAATAAGAGAATACAGCAAAAATTTACTTATTTACTTAGCATTCATAAGTGGAAAAATATGACAACACGCAAGTCAAAACAAAGAAAAGTTATTTACATGACTAAATTTCAACATGATTTATATTTATGTATATATATATATGTATAAGCCACGGTAATTTTTTGAAAATTAAAACATCAATTTGACTAGCATTATACTAAGAACGTGTGCGAGTTAGGCTAAGTTGCGTTCTAAATGAGGGAAATTCTAAGTTGTGCCGATGATGTAGTGATGTGTCGATACGTGTTGATAAATGGCTAAATGTGTGCAGTACAAAAAATCCCAAAAAATCTCCCATTTGGTTTAGCATTAACTTAGCCTAACTCGCACACGTCCTAACAATGAGCACCAGTTATACACCAGTTATGTGACCAGTTATGTTAGTATAACTGACACCAGTTATACTAACAATGAACTCACTGAAGCTAATAGCTTTATGTGTAGATCTACTAGTCTATAACATCTTAATGGCGATTCAAAATTTATCTAAGAATTACCACCGTTGGTAAGGATGGCGGAACGGTACAGCTTATAACAACAAAATAATTTATAATTTAAAAAATGTTTTTTTTTTATATAAATGCATCTCAATAACTAAAATAGCTTGATTAATTTTGTAGGTCTTTAACGATACGTTACCGAATCACAACAATAATATTCATATCAGTTCAAATTTTTATTAGCTATCGTGGATGTTGTACTCACTAATCTTTAATTTCTATGAGGTGTAGCGTTATAATTTAGATTAATAAGCTTATTTAGATTAATAAGCTCGATTTAATAAAAAATAATAATTAGTAAATGTTTACTTGTTTTGACCTTTACCATATTTTATAAACATTTTTATCAACACAGTTGAAAAGTAATTTACTTATCAATTTGAGTTCGGAATTTCACGCTCAGAGCTTTTAACTTTCCTCTCAGAGCTTTCAATCGTGCTCTTTTCGTGAGAAGAAAAAGCTTCGACCAAAGTGTAAAAACTAAGCAACAAAAAAAATTCAAAACAATCAAAAAATTAAACCATAAAACATTGCTTCGATCGCATAGCTGTCAAGATTTGAATAGATTTTTTGTAGAAACTATGTTACAATAATAAAAGATAAATTCACGTGCAGAGCATATATTTTTTAGAGATGCAATGGGTTTTTGAATATTTATTAAAGAAGGAAAAGATTAATGTTTTTTAAAAAGATATAAACAGAATGGATTACGAATCAGCGATTATGTTAGAGCTGCAGAGCAAAGTTCCACGCCCGACTCAACCAAAGAAGCACAGACGTGTCATGTGTGTTGGAATGTGTGTTCTGGATCTTATACATATATGTAAAGAATTCCCACAAGAAGACACTGACAAAAATTGCGAGGAAGGTTATTTACAGCGTGGCGGTAATGCGTCGAATAATTGTACCGTGCTACGACTTTTGGGTTGCGACTGTGACTTTCTTGGTATGTTGAGTGATGGGCCGCATTTCAAAGTACTAATTGAAGATTGTATAAAACGTAAGATTGGCATCACTTACTGTCCACACACGCCAAAAGAGCCGCCCTTCTCATCTGTAATCTTAGTACGAGACACGCGGACTATTATACACTCGAATTCAGATTTCCCTATGCTGACGCACGAACATTTCAAAGCTGTAAATTTGGATGAATTTTCATGGGTACATTTTGAAGCTCGTAATGTTAAAGACACAGTCAACATGCTGCGCGATATTCACGAATATAATAAATCGGCTGCGTACAGAATTATGTTATCGGTGGAATTTGAAAGACTGTGTGAAGAGAATCTATCGTTAGGAAACTGGGTTGATTATATATTTCTATCGAAAGATTTTGCAATATACTTGGGTTGGACAAATCCACGAGATGCAGTCTTTTCATTAAGAGAAAAGTTAATATTAATAACGGAAAGGAATTACACCAAATGTTCCATAATTTGTCCATGGGGTGCCTGCGGTGTTAGTGTATTGGATACTGTGGATAAATACTATCATATACCAGCCACAAAGCCTGATAACATTATCGATACTTTAGGAGCTGGAGATACTTTTCTAGCAGCCACAATCTATGCACTACACCATATGGATCTCACTTTAACTGATGCGGTCATCTTTGGAAATAACTGTGCTGGCTATAAGTTGGGCCATAGAGGGTATGATGCTATTAATGAGTTTAATCCGGTAGACGCTAGCTCTCAGAATGATCCAAAACTACCAGAAGGTGAAAATGAAGACGTCTGTTTGAGTGCATTAAAGTCATAACTACGTGCATTACTAATCAGTAATAAAAGCCACACCACCTAAACTCTTCCTGACATAAGAAAAAAACATTAACTTCTAATATAATTCATTGCGCATAAATTATTGAGTAGTATATTTTTAATAGAACATTTATAGAAACAAAAAATGTTTGCTTTTTTACAACAAAATTCTTGTAAATTACAATTCTGACAAATTCATAATAAAACATCAAACCCATATTCAATATCTTTTAATTTTTTTATTTTGTTGTAAAAAATCGATTACTTTAGAATAAAAAGCAGAAATCTAATGATAAATGTTATGAGTGGATACATATAAGTGCATGATGTACTAAATTTGAGTAAACAGATCGACTTTTCTATAACATATCACTTCAAGACATAGTTCTCTCAAAACGGGATTATAAGAAACTGCGTATGTATATAAACTAATTATAATTAATATTTTCAGAAAATATATATAAGGTAGTACACAGCAATGTACATTTTTAATTTAAGGATAATCAACCGACTAGATATAATTTTAGAATAAAAAGTCATCCAGATGGCAATAAAACCCCTAAATTATAATTCTACTACTAAGACAATAATTATACATAAACTATCATAACTCGATGTCTCGATCACTGATTATAAATTTACTTTCAACTATCAGTAATCATATTTTATATAATTATATTATAAAAATTCATATCATCATTGGTAAAAAGGTTAGGTTAAGTTACTGTGGCAGTCAGTATAACATATCAACTCTCTTAGACCTCTCCCCTTGAAATTCATTACCACAACTTTGCATAGATTTATAACTCCAAGTTAAATATGGAACTACTTTAATGCTCTAATAAAGAATGCTTTAATAAAGGTTTTGTTTTCATTTTGGAACTCTACACTTCTGTTAGAGAACTGAAGAAATAATTGCCTAAAAAGTTCCTAAAAAGTGCCTGGCTCCAGCCAGTAGTAAACTGACTCCAGCTAGTAGTAAACTGACTCCAACCAGTAGGAAACTGATTCCAGCCAGTAGTAAACTGACTCCAACCAGGCAGCTACAGAAGAAATGTTTCACTGTTTCTTCTTTTTATCATTTATCTGCACAATATTTATTAGAGAAAGTTTCCAGCCTAAGCGCGTCTGAACGCAACTTAATGCAACTGATCGTTTATATAAGCTGCAATCTTCGATTTGCCACCCTTGGTAGGCTTGGTCTCTCTTATCAAGTTACGGTCACATTAACTTGAACTTCGAACAAGTGTTTTAGTTTTTTCAAGACCAATTGGTGTTTCGAATTACTCTATTCTTTAATATTAATGTCCAAGTAGCAACTTAGTTCAATGGGTATACTACAATTTAGCGACTGTAGCTAAGAGATATAGTATACTTTTTAATAAAATTTAACTAATTGCTTGGGACAACCAGTAATACTACGATTAAATTTCAATTCAAGTAACAATAACGCTACTATTATTATATCATTCCCGAACATAAAAATTATTGGGACTAATATAGGCTTGATGCCCCTTTGTGGAGAAAAGTAAATTCAATGTCTAAAATAATCTGAAGAGTGACACAATAAATATTCAATTGTATTCAATTGAATAATGATTTTAGTAATGATCTTAGTCATTAATAATTATAATAAGTAGATTGACACTACTACTTGATAAACTTAGGAAAGCGTTTGTTCTTTTTTGTGGCAAATTTGGTTTCATATTTCAGTCATTCGCTGCCTTAGCAAACTTTATTCCTGATAAGATGTTTAAAGTGGAGTTCAAATGTTCCTATTTTTGATAATATACGATACAAAAAAGAATTAATTTTTCTGAAGAGCTCATCAGTTCTACAATTTTAAATGTGATATTTAGCTTGAATCAAATGAATCCTTTATGCTTCACTTAACACATTGACAGCTAAGCAATACCAGATTATTTTACCCTGTTTTTCGGCTCTATACTTGTAATCTATGTATACTTAGATAACTATGAAAATATAGATATAACTATACAATATCGTATTACACCTAACTGCCTTTTGATTGATTTTAACTTAAGCTTCATAAACACTACAATAACCAGGTAATCCTAATCCTATCTAAGAATATACCATCTTTCAATTTATTTTCTCATTTTGAGTCTTTTGTGTAAATATGTTTGTACTTCTGTTTTTACCTAACATCACACGGATTTTAAAAATAAATTATTATTATTGTTTTATAAACTCATTAGACTTCTTTTATTTCGTACACCCACTTTTAGGAGATGTTAATTAATATCAGATTGATTCCCACTTATCTCTCACAATACTTGAAAATAGGTTCCCTAAGGTATAAGTTAATGAATCAATTAATAAGTTATGTTTCTTACATAGTGCCCTCTGTCAAGAGATAATCATATTAAATAAAAGTTTTTGAAATATTAAAAATATTTTTAAAGATTTATATTGAATAAGTGAAAATTATGTATAAAAAATATTTGTTAAATGATTTGATTGATAAAGCCTGTGACACATCTCTCGGTAGTTTTGACTGATAAAACCATTATATGATAACACTTTGAGGCAATATTAAGATATTTAAGAACGTTATGTTAACATAACGGCAGATAAACGCTTTGATACCTAATTTAAATTTCGAAATTTACTTCGATTTTGTTTAGCCAAAATAAAAAAACAAAAATACACAGATAAAATCGTAATTCAGCCAACTACAGTTCTCAAGAAGGCAGTGAATGTTAAGACCTAAAAAATTCTTAATTACAAAAGTCGAAGTTGTTTCCTCTAAATGAAATGATAAGTATGCACAAGGTAGAGATTGTTAATAAAAACCTAAAAAAATGTCAGGGTATTCCAGTTATAATAGAAACGTGCATTAAGCAAATATTAACCGAAACGAACTCCGACTCAAGGTAAAAAATTGGAAATTTTTTATAAATCTATTAACAAAAATTCAAAAATTAATTATGAAACGTAAGTATGAATATATAGAGAAATATAAAATTAAATTAAATATTCTTATTGATTTTATTGTTCTATAGTGATATTGTTAATGTTAGCATTGTATGCTACGACTTTTGCTGATGCCAAGAGCTTACAAAAAAAAGTAATCTACAAAGCAAGTATACAGTAGCGGATAAATTCTTCATACTGATTCATAATAATTCTGCATAATTATTTTCTATTTTAGCCAACAAATGCAAGTGCTACATGTGCTAACCAACCCGATGGAATGGTACTTAAACATGCAACAGATTGTAATAAATTTATTTTATGCATACACCATAATGCCCTGGAGTACAGTTGCAGACCAGGAGAATATTTTGATGCCGACGTATCTATCTGCTTACCAATAGAAAATACGCCACAACATAAGTGTAGTTGCATCATGCCAGAGCATACAGTAGTTATGAATCCGGAGGATTGTACGACTTTCTATTATTGTGAGAGTGGTAAAGCAGTAATGCATCGTTGCCCTATTGGCCAGTTTTATGACGAACGTATAAGTGCCTGCTTAGTTGATGTAAATGGTATATGTGTAATGCAACCTACACGGAACCCAGCAGAAATGGTTCTATTACAATTGTGTCAATATTCTGGAAAGGAAAGTTACATAACTCAAGCTGATCCTAGTGATTGTAGCAAGTTTCTCTTGTGTATGAACGGAAAGGTTTTTACTGAAAAATGTGATAATGGTTTTTATTATGATAAATATTTGCATTTCTGTCGTTTGGATACGGATAATATATGTATAAAGTCAAATATAACTAAAATCGAGAAACATGAAGAAGATATAGAACAACAAGAATTACTGAAGAATATTGAAGTTAATCAAATTGAAGATACGCACGATCATACCAAATTAATGGAGAAACCAATCAAAAATTTAGTTGACATAACTGAGCATATAGCTGCATATGAGAAAGAAAACCAAACAAATATTATTTTGGACGTTATTTCTGATAACGTAATTGAATCAAAAGAAATTATAAAAGCTGAAGTTGACAGTAATAAAAATAGTGCACATATAGATCCTATAAATTCAAACCAAAATGTAATTAACAAACCCGTTTCTGACAAATTATACTCAAAATTTATTAATTTTTAATTAAGTAACAAATTGTTATAAATTGAACTACTACAAAAAAATCACTGTCTGACCACAACAATAGTTTTACAAGAAACTTCTTCAAATAACATACCTTTGAATTAAGTACATTAATTTTAGCATGAAATAATTAATAAAGATACTGCATCAAAATTATATTGTCTATTACTTACATTAAAGTATTTTGATTTCTTTGGTTAAATAAGATTTAAAGAAAATACACTAAAAAATAAACAACTCACCTTCCATGATGCTTGGCAATATGGAATATGATTAACAGTACGACAAAGCGTTGCTACACACAACGGCAAGGGGTCACTTGGAAAAATTGTATATCCCATTACCAATTCCAAAATAGTTAGGCACTGTAAACCTATTTCATTACCCTCTACAGTACAACTTAAGTGACAAGCATTTCTGTAATAAAAAATTTAATTAAACAATTTCTTAATATAGCTTCGTTCAATGACTACACTGGCTAGGCTTTAGCAAGATATTACATACACTCTTACTTTTCAAAAACCATTATAAATTTTTGTTTATAGACAATATCCTAAAATAATATTTGCATTCGAACATAAAAATCGTATCAAAGCCTAGCCAACGTACTCGTCAAGTTAACCGTAAACAATGTAATTCAAAAGTTTGCAGACATTGCCAGTGTTCCTATATGGACTATATGAACTACTAGCAAGCACAAACCCAAATAAACATTGTTTATAGTTTCATATATAAAATTATATATGCAAAATAAAATAAAATTTACGCACTGTACAATTCCTATAACAATATCGTTGTCTAAATGTGCAGCATTAAATTTAATTAGATTAACTAACATCTCCAGATATGGACGTAAAAGATTCGCATCTGTAATAGCCGGTATCCAGTGCAACATAAATTTACCTATCTGTAATTATATGTTATTAATAATAAAATTTAATGATTATAAAACGAAATACTTTTTCTTCAAAATTAGTTATATCTTTGCCATTTTCTGTCAATGTATCAAGTAATTCCAAGCAATGTTTTAAATCTTCTTGAACTTCATGATTCTAAAAAATTATTTTATGTAGATTATTTAATTTTTAATTTAATATTTGTAATATAAACTAATATTACTTGTATAACTAAAAAGAAATGTTCTCTCATAAGCGTTAAGCTTTTATATTGGCTAAATATGAGTTTTTTGTAAAATGTTAACACTGTCTGTCGACACTCGGCAGATTTGTTCGGTACAATCAAATCTTTTGTCAAATCCCACAATTTCGTGATGGAAGCCTATGTATATATAAAACAAAAAATTTTACTTATTAGTTATTATTGCATTAATAATAAATACCTCATCCAAATGCAAATTTATTAATTGAGATTCACCAAAATCCTTTAGAGTTTTACAACGTTGCGCTGCTGGATTTTCAGGCTTTAAGTCTTCTTCGATTCGTGTTGGCAGGGACCGTTCTTTGTTACTTCCTAAATAAATACAAAGCAAATGTAATGAGAGTTCGCAATTGACTCGAATGATAAGCAATTTAATTTAAGACTAAAATCTGCATTAGTTTATTAATTCGAATTTATTTCTAATGCAATTGTAAGGAAGGTATTCTTCCCTTAACTCACCTGCTGGGCTTTTTGACATCTTTACAAAGGATTTTAATTTTGATTTAGAACTCATCCTTAATAAATATCACTATTAGTTTAAATTTCTTGTGAAATCTGAATTTTTTATATTATTTGCATGCAATATTGTTGGATTAAAACAATTTTCAGATTTTACGGGAAAAAACAATACAGGCAAACAACAGCTGTGTGGGTGCATTATGAAATGTCAAAAAAATGTCAGCTGTATTTTGCTTTTCGTTTACATGCACTTTCTCGGTCAATTTGAATAAAAATTTCAAAGCCGCTATTTATTTAAACGCCTTTACCAATATATAAAAAAAATGTGTTCAATTTTATGTGTATATATTTCTAGGCATAGGTAAAATCTAGAAATTACAAAATCGTATATAATAAAATATTTGCAAAATAAATACCTTTATGTGTAAACGTATTATAGGACGGTTTATTCAATCCTCATAAAAAATTTAATAATGATATATGATATAAGGTGAATATTTGTATTGTTGTTAAACAATTTAGGTATTTATTTGTACTAAAAATTATGTAAACACTAAAAGAACATATGTTTAATCCTAAGACACAAGGACGGCAAGGAAAGGAGAAAAAACAATAACTATGAAAATTGTGAAAGTGTATTTTATCATTAGTAAAAAGATTATTTTCATTATTATGGAGAGTAAATACTCTTTCAATTTTTTTTTGTTTCAAATTATATATTTCAAAATATAATTCGTCTTCGATAAAATATAACTATTGCGCTATGCACAATACGGAAGACGTGCAACGAAGTGGCGCCTTTTGAGCTTTGTTTTGTGCTATTTCGTTTATATTTTTATTTATACTGTAACTGTCAAAAACATTGTTTTTGTATATTTTGTTGTGTACTACAGTTTATTATGAACAGAAAACCAAAAGAGCAAATAAAAAAATAATAAAATTCTGCTACATATGATAAACAACATTCCAAACATAAAACTATAATTGCAAAATTATATTATGTGGAATGAATTAAGCGCCGTTTTAAATGTAAAGGTTACATATTATGATGTACAGTTTGTCAACATTGTGTTTGCAAAACGAAAAAATGTTACAAATGTTTATTAAATGCTCAATAAAAACGATTTAATTTTGAAATAAAAAAAAAAATTAAAATGTTTACAAATAAATTAAACATTTTTCTTCATATTAAACTAAAAATTATTCAAAAATATCGTTAGAACAATAAAATAATTCACAAAAACAAAAATAACACCAAATTTGTTGTGTCAACATTGTGTTTGCAATTTTGCAATTTCTTATTTTTAACGGGACAGAATACCGTTAGATGTGTCTGGGTTTTTCTGTTTGTTATAATATTCTGCAAAAACTGTTCAATTTCTTTGTTATTTAATAAAGTAGAGTGTTTTAAGTGAAGGAATAACTAGAATACACGTGATTAAATATGGCCTGTAAAAGAACAAATTCAAATAATATTGAGTTATTATGTTATAATTACTACCTCGGTAAATCTGCTAAGGAATAAAGTCTAACGTTTAATATTAGGTTAAGAACAATTAATAATATCATAAACAAAACAGAAAATGAGGATTGCATTAGTTTAAAACCAGCAGGCCACCGTATTAAACCATTGTCTGATCGCCATATAAGAAGAGTATTGCGAATAATTGATAAAAATCCTTTAATTTCCTTACGATCATTGGCATTAGGTCTGGAGAAGCTATTTAATATTGTTGTTAGTCACAAGGCAATAAGAAAAGTGCTATTACAAAACATTTATTCTTCGAAAGTTCCACGTAATACACCGTTGTTATCTGTTTAAAAAATTGAAAAACGATTTCAGTTTGTTAGCGCACATTTAAGATATGCTTCAGAGTACTATGATGGTGTGATTTTCTGAAATTTTATGCTTTATTACCATATTTGTGTGGGTCCTGCATTAGAAGAAAGCTTGATTTTCACTTCGTCCCAGAAAATCACATCATCTTAGTACTCTGAAACATATTTTAAATGTGTGCTACCAAACTGAAATCATTTTTCAATTTTTTGAACAATTAACGACGGTGTATTACGTGTAACTTTCGAAGAATAAATGTTTTGTAATAGCACTTTTCTTATTGCCTTGTGACTAACAACAATATTAAATAGCTTCTCCAGACCTAATGCCAATGATCGTAAGGAAATTAAAGGATTTTTATCAATTATTCGCAATACTCTTCTTATATGGCGATCAGACAATGGTTTAATACGGTGGCCTGCTGGTTTTAAACTAATGCAATCCTCATTTTCTGTTTTGTTTATGATATTATTAATTGTTCTTAACCTAATATTAAACGTTAGACTTTATTCCTTAGCAGATTTACCGAGGTAGTAATTATAACATAATAACTCAATATTATTTGAATTTGTTCTTTTACAGGCCATATTTAATCACTTGTATTCTAGTTATTCCTTCACTTAAAAGACTCTACTTTATTAAATAACAAAGAAATTGAACAGTTTTTGCAGAATATTATAATAAACAGAAAAACCCAGACACATCTAACGGTATTCTGTCCCGTTAAAAATAAGAAATTGCAAAATTGCAAACACAATGTTGACACAACAAATTTGGTGTTATTTTTGTTTTTGTGAATTATTTTATTGTTCTAACGATATTTTTGAATAATTTTTAGTTTAATATGAAGAAAAATGTTTAATTTATTTGTAAACATTTTAATTTTTTTTTTTATTTCAAAATTAAATCGTTTTTATTGAGCATTTAATAAACATTTGTAACATTTTTTCGTTTTGCAAACACAATGTTGACAAACTGTATATTACATTGTTCACGAATGTTATATTATTTTCAAATTCATTTAAAAAAAAGACGAAAATCACATTATAAATAATTACATTTAATATCTAGTGCAACTACTTAAAATAAGTGAAAACGAATTAAATTTGTTATACATAATATTTAATCTCAGTGTTATAGATGCTACTCAAAACGGTGGCGATCATTACATGACCATTTCCTTCGTATCACAACGAAATGAATGGTTAAATTGACATGAGTCAGCCTCCACCTTGTAATATATAGGGACATATAAGTAATTTTTATAATTTATAATTATCTAGAAAAGCAACAGAGATCTGAATTTAGAGTAGATAAAGGATATTTTATAAATGACGTACAATAGCAATAGTGTAACTAGAAAGCTTGGTGAAGTTCTTGTGTTTATAGCGTAATGAATTGGGTACTATAATATTTGGTAAGGAAGGTTATAGTTTGAAAATCCTATAATCCAAGTTAGAAAATACAATGAGTAGTATACGATTGAAAGAATCATGCGCATTAGAGTGGCTGAGAGCATGTTTGGGCAATTGAAACGAGGGTTTTTCATTTTATGTTGTCAGGTATCGAACTGTCTCATTAATAGGAGGAAACATTGCCTTGCATAATGTGAAATATCTTGGTAATGCTCTGAAGGCCTTGTTGAAGACGTTCAACAGGTAGAAGAATGAAATGGTAGTAAGGCATTAATAACCATTTTATTTAATCTTCATTTAAATATGTTCAAAATGTTAATTTATTTAACATAAGATACAAAATATAATTTTTTTTTGATATGATATCCTATTTACAATATGTAGGAAATATTAATTTTTTTAAATATTATTAATATGAATATATAAAAAATATGAAGTATTTTAGGAAATTCTAATAGTATTTAATTAACAAACGGATCATATTTTTACATCTAATAACTAATACAATAATTACAAAAAATAAAGCAAATGTTTTAAGAAAATTAATCACTAAAATCGTTTTCTAGATTGGAAGAAAATTCATGTTTGTCCTGCTTGCGTAGTTTCTTCAAGAGCAAAAGTTTTTCTAATTTTAGATTACATTTTTTCGCTTTCAACATTTCAATTTCGTGGGATAGTTTTTCCTTTTTTAATTCTAGAACTTCACACTGCAGTTGTGAAACGTTTGGAACATTGGAATTCTTTTCACAATGAATTCGGACAACATTTGGAGTTGTTACTGCATCAGATTGCGGCTGCGGAATATCTACAACAGCACCTTTCCCATCAGTAATATTGTCTAGGACTTGAATAGGGCCTATTATTAAACGTTTGTTTTATTAAAAAAAATGTGAGTTTTAAAAATAAAATAAATTACATGGCATTTTTGTAACGTTACGTTTGCGCTTATCGCTGTTAATTAAATCGGCTAATTCCTTTTCATGCGCTCTCATTTCAATTTTTCTTAAAGTTTTTCGTTTTATTCGGCTTTTCATATTTTCTATTTTTCTCTTTATCTGTAGCCTTGACATATTATATCCATATTCCGTTTTTATATTTGCTTCTATAGCTGATAGAGCTTCATGTTTTTTCTTTTTTACTGGTGGCGTCTGGCTTTTATCAACTAAACATGGATGCAAATGTAAATACTGCACAAACATCTCTTCACGAAATAATTTACTTTTCTTTTGTTTCCGTGGCACATCAATTTCATTTTCCATTTCCATAAATTTAAGATTAAATAAAATACATTTACTTTATACTACGCACTTCATATATGATGAGAGTACACTTTAAGCAAACACTAATACCACATGTGAAATAAATCCATGGAGTGTAGTCGTTTGCTATTTGCATGTAAAAACATACAAGGCACTTAAATTGCTTTATTAATACTAAATCTAAGTGTACACTACAAATGTCAAACTATTGAGTACAGTATTTTCGATAAGTTTAACGAAAATATATTTTACTCACACTATTTTGTTGTTTTCAAGTAAATAAAATAAAGTAAACACTAAAGTTATTCTTATTCATATCCAAATAAATTTTTCGATAAGTTTAACGAAGCTATATTTAACGCACACTATTATTAATATTCTCAAGTATATAAATGAAAGTAAACACTAAAGTATTTTTTTTGTTTTCATATATATATCCGAATAAATTTTTGAAGTTAATAAAGTTATTTTTTTATTCATGTTTGACTAAATTTTTCATGATTTCAAAAATATTAGTTAAAATAAACATTGAAAGTGTTTTCGAAAATCATTAAGCAACAACTTTTGCAATTTTGTTGCATTGTAAATATCGCATATGACAAAAAATTTAGAAATTTTCAAACAATACTTAACTTTTATTAAATTAATTAGAATAATAGATACCATAGAATATAATTGTATATAAATTATGCTTACACTAAAAACGTTTCTAGTTAAAACGTTTTTTTTTTCCAAATAAATTTTAATAAGTCCATAAATCATAATAAGACCGGACTACCATAAATAATTGATTTTATATATAGAGTTTAGACGAAATGTAGAGTGATTTGAAATTCTCATAGATAACTACAATACTAGACAACTTATTAGGTCATGTTGTTTGGATTTACTTAACGCGAAAGCTATATATACTATGTGAATAATATTCAAATAATTATAATAATCCATCAATTATTTATTGTATACACTATGCAATGTTTATTGGTAAATTAGAAAGCTGAGTCTTCCGTTAAAATTAGTTCTTAAAATACTTTGAGGAATTTTTAACTACTTTTATAAGAGAATTATGAAATATATTTCTTTATAGTATATTTAATTGGCAAATTTGAATTTAATATGAACTTACCATTAAAATTTGACTAAATTATTGCTGTCAATGTAATATGGCGTTTACACTGGCCGAAAATGGCTCATTTTGAATGAGCCATTTGAAAGTGTTTGCATTCACTGTAATTCATTTGTTTTTCAACTTGCCTGTTGATTTGATTTTTGGCCTATGCCAAAAAAATGTTGCATGAAGGTTAAATATATCTTCAAACTTTAAAATATATACTGAAAGCATATTTTTGGAACGCATTCGACCCTCGTTGGAATGCATTCATACAGAATGAGATCCAATGAATCTCATTCGCGCTTGAAATTTTGTATGCAAGAATGTATGCAAGCCATTTGAGTTCAGTGTGAATGCCGTATAAGTTAGATAATTGAAAGCACAACAAATATAGTAATCGACGATCGTTTGTATAACTTGGTTCTAACCTAAATAAACTTTAAAATAATTAAATATTACGTTAACATTACCACATTAAATGCATTACCTTAACATATCTATAGCAATTAGACATATTTTCCAATCAAAATCGATATGGAAATATATAAAGTAATAGGATAAAAAAATATTTATTTTTAATTGACTTTACAGAATCATACACCAAAGTTTCATTCAATGTCGGCCAAGCAAAAACATATAAGAACTCAAAAAAAAAAACATGCATAAATATTCAGTTAAATCTTACAAAAAAGTAATAAATAAACGGAGTAGATTTGTAGTAATATCACATTTTAAAATTAATTAAATACACCACAAATTGTGGGTAAAAATGATTAAAATCGCAATTTTATCCTTAAAACTATATATAGTATAAAGTTTATTTTCAAGTATTTTTTATGAAAAACAGTAACATTATTAATAATATTTATAGACCGTTTAAGTTACATATTTAACAGCAGTAATAACATAATTTTATTAAAACTTTAAATAAATGATATATATTATATAAATCTAATGTAAATACATTCAAAAGGAATTACCTAATGAAAAACTAATTTTCAGACATTTTCTTTAAGACAGTCTCAAAACGTCCATATTAAGCGGTTTAGTTAAAAATTTAGGACTTTCGATTATACTTACTCTTTTTAAAAATAATGCCTATAGCAACAACTTTACTTTTGTTCAAATATTTAACTACAAGAAAAGTCAAAGAAATGACGCAGTTACTAAACGTTCGCAGCGTAAACTTGGTGACTTGGGTTCCAGCACAGGTAACTGAAATTGTTGAAATTGTTTAGGATGATTTAATTTTCTTAACTTTATATCAATGCTGCATTAAATATAAATTAAGTCAGTAAAGTTAAAGACTTAAGCATGTATCAAGTAGTTTTTCGGACATAGGTGTCATATTAATTTATGAAAAACATATTTTAATACCTATAAAACTAGAAGATATATATAGAAGAATATAAAAAAAATAATATCAAATTTAATAAAAAATTAAACAAATATTTTAAAAATTTATTTAATTTTTAAAATAATATATATGCCTACAAATATTATGTTCATATATTTGTAATACCTTCTAGGACGGATACATTAATTTCCAACTGGGTAGTTAGAATAAATTTTGACATATATTTCCATTCTTAAAAAATATATGATGTTGTTTATTTTGCGAACAATGCAACAAACATCGTAAGCAAAGTTGTAAAAAAATATTAAAAGTAAGTCTATAATATATGTATTACTGCCTATTTGAAAAGCTGTATATTCCAATAGTTTTTAAAACATACTTATTGTACAAATAGAATATTTTAAATAAAAATCAAAACATTGGAGTTTTTTTAATTTCTTCGTTAAAAATATTAGCAAGTGTGCGTAAGAAAGATGGCAATACTGACATTTCGTCGATTGAATTGACGAAGAATGAAGCTGTAAAGACAAGGAATCAAATAATTTTCATTTTGCGACAGAATCGTGCGGATGCGTTTTGCGTGCCCAAAAAATTGTTAAAATTTGTAATATTTTTAAAGTGAATGTAATTTTTGCATAAATTGCCGTTATAAATAAATTATATTGACCTCTACATAATCAGTTACATTGTGCTGAAATATTTTATTAAGTGTTTTTTTTCGACAGTTTCACATTGTTTTGTTGCTGCTTCGACTGAAGGAAGTAACCGAAATAAAGCATATAACGGGAAAATAGAAAACGGGTAAGTGGTTTTTTTTTAAATTCTCCTATAAGAGAAATATATTTTCATATTGGAAATTTTAAACAATTTGTTTTCGCTTAAATAAATTATTTTATTCGTTTAAACGAAACGCATTTCAAGTCGATGTCCTTGACAAACAAATAAATTGTTTTGTGCACCTTATATAGATAGAAATGCAGTTGTTTTTATTGCTTTTAATTGCATTGTTGAAAAATCATTAAAATCTACAAAAATGACTTAATTATTTTAATTTCTTTGTAAAAAGAATTATAAAAAAAATAACAAAATTTTAGCAGAAATAAGCATTTTAGAAAACTAAAAAGAAAAAATGTTTGTGAGCATTGTCTGCAATATTTTAAACGATTTATTATAAATAATTTATGCATATAGGCTTCTTTTGAGATTTTATTATTATTATTGTTATTGTCATTATTATTATTAATATCTTTATTTATTTATCAATTATTGTTATTAGCTTTACAAAAGATTCTGACTGAGCATTAGCTTCAACCTTCTTGAGTGTTTGTTATTATTAAAAATTATTGTCGTGTTTACCAAGTTATTTTCGTTATTGTTTACTTTATATTTTTGATAAGTGATTAAACAAACATTAAATTTGTTTTGTTGTCACACACACAAATTTGAAATTAGAGCGTAGATCTTACATACACTCACACATCGCTAGGGAATGTAAAAGTGCAAGCAATCAAAAAGTTGACTTCAACATGTGACATTTATAAATTACAAAATTAATTCAAATAAAACATAATTTGGAAACTAACTAATATTAACGTTTGTATAGTTGTGTTTTGTTTGTAACATTTTAAGCGTAAATAACTACCGAAATGAGTTCCGCCGAAGAAAATAGTCAACCCACTACACCACAAGATGGGCCCGACGGACAAGATCAGGTAAATGTAAATTTTACTTTTCCATTTTTCGTTTATACTTTATTAATAATGCTAATCTATATTGTAGGAAAAAGCCCGCGAGTTGGAGAAAATCGAAGAGGAAAAGCTAAAATCCAAATATCCAACTGGCTTACGTGGACCTGGAGGTCATTCAGCATTTTTACAAAAACGTTTACAAAAAGGCGTAAGTAAGCTTAAATAATATTAAATAAATAGATCTAAATAGACCTTCTACATTAGCAAAAGTTCTTTGATTCTGGTGATTATCAAATGGCGAAGCAAAAAGGCGGTGGCGTTAAGCAAGTGTTTGCAAATAAAGTCCCTACTGGTGAAGCTATTCCTACTCCAGAAACAGTGCCTGCACGTAAGACTTCAATTATACAGCCTTGCAACAAATTCCCAACGACGAGTTAAGTTTTGTTGTTAATGCTCAAATACTAAGTTTGTTCCGCAAATTAAATTTTGCAAAAATAAAAGTATAAAATTAATTAGTTTTTGGTATACGTAAATTTAATTTCAACACACAACTGTTTTGTTTATTAATTTTACACACCCCTCTTACTTTTCAAATGTCATTAATCTCAAATTAAAATTTATCTTTTATTTTTGCTACCAATTTTAAAAAAATTACAAATTAAATTAAATAATTCAAAACAAGAAAAATTAAATTAATTATAGTTTTAAGTTTTTTTTTTTATTTTTTATTTTTTATTTTTTTTTTTTTCAATATAACAGAAAATTATAAAATTAATTCGAATGTGTGGTATACTTGCCGCAATTTTAATAAAATTACAGTATTCAAATATAATTCAGGAAAAAAAAAACAATGAAAGAAAAGAAACTATGTATAAAATAACATGTAGCAACGTATAAAAATTAAAATGTATTTTTGCAAATGAGCCATAATATGTAGCGTATATGCGTATTAACTAACATGTTTGGATGATTTTGTTTTTAAAGTGTTTAATAAAATTACTGTTTGTAGCAAAATCGCTGTAATTTAAATTGATAAAAAATTAATAAATATAAAACTAAGTTCGGTATATACGTTATATGTTTGATACAATTGTATTGGTAGAACCGATCCTGAGATACGTTATAAAAAAATCTTTTACTTTATATGTGAACATGTACTGATTTGCTAATAGTTGAAAAGTATTATGAAAAATACTCCAATCGAAATCAAAAGATTACTAACAAAAACACCTTTTACCCTGTTAAAGTGTCTAAAACCATGCACATACAATCTGTAATACGTTATTAGGAAGTGTTTTACTTGCAGTGCAAGCAAATACTGATTTGAAAATAATTCAAAAATTTTGTATTTAACACTGAAATTTAAGTAAGACTTAATATCCTGAAAAAATTTTCGTAAATGCAACTAAAAATACGTGGAAAAAATTAATAGGCATTTCAATAAGTTAATATGGTTGTTATATTAGCCAGCAAGGATCTATATAGCAGTTAACATGAAAAGAATTACGAAAACGTTTACATGGGATAGGATGTTGATAGATAATGGTAGTGTGAGGATAGAGAGGAACAATTGTTGTTACTCATATTAGAATTCCAAAAGCATAACGCAATTACAAGCCAAATACTAGGAGTGAGATGGGAAGGAGATGGAGAGTGGGGTATAGGTGGGGTATTGAAACTAATCTGTATTTAAAGAAAATTTAAATACCTCACCTGAAGAAAAGCAATAATTCGATAAAGCTTATTATATGCCAAGCGGAACAGGAAAATATAACATCATTTTAAAAATGAAAAATCCAAAAAATTGTTTTAAATACATTGTATAATCTTGGAGAGGTAAGTATTACGAAATTCGTATACACTTTATTTAAATAAATAGTAATGAACTCTATTATAAAATTTTGTATTAAGCATGGTTAAAGTTAAATTCGAAGAGTTTGGAAGAAGGATATAAATTATTATCAGGATAAACTGATACTGATGCTATAAGGACTATTATCAAAGTTTATTAAAAGGCAAGTAAAAATTTTTATTCAATGATTAACAGACACTAATATACCATCTATCTTTCAGAAAAAAAACAGCCGTTCCAATAGTATATACTGTATTTGATTTAGGTATAATACCTTGCAATATGAAGATTAGACACTGCTTACCCCTTCAATCAATCCCATAGAATTATCAAAAACAACCCACAGCAACGATAAAATAATTGCTGCTTGTGTTCATAAAACAGGGCGTGTTAAATAATTCATTTTGGTAAGTCTGTCTTTTAAAATAAAATAAATTCCTCAATAAAATATATAAGTTTTACTAATGTTTGAAATTCTATATTTCAAAAAACAAAACTGAATTCATTAATTTAGACTTTAAAAGCTTTGATTTAAATCTGAGTTTAAGTTGAGATGATGGGGTGTCGACTATCTATGCAGTGTTTATTCTTCTTTAAGTAACTACATCATGTTAATGCCGATGTTGCATACTGAAATGGAAATTTAATGCAGTTGATTTCCGGTTTCAATATCATTCTTTAATGCTTTATATTAACTTTAGAAAAAAATAATATATGATTTTTTGCAAAAGATTACATTAACATGACTTAAATATAAAATATTATCAATATCATTTACTAAAACAAAGAATTACTCGAGAAATTGTAAAAAAATTTCGGGATTACCGAAATAATAATCAAAATTTTGTGTAATAAGTTTAAAATATCACCCAGTACAAAAACAAGAAGCCTAATGCTTCACAATGGAGCTTAATAATTTACCCCATCCAGTTTTGCTATTTTGCCCACCCTGACCTTCCTCACCATTGTGTTTCCTTAAATAAGAACACTTTCTAAGTAATTTTATTGTTTGTTTTGGTTTTCTAATATTAAAAATTCGTTAAGAAAATTTTATGTTAGTTAACATTTTGGTTATCAGCCACACCGATTTTAATATTTGATAATTCGAATTGCGCCGCCAAAAAAGAAAAAAGTTTTGGCTTCGAATTCCGTCGGTAGTGTTTCGATTTGCGTCATTTTTTAATACATCATACAAAGGGGATTCCGATTTTATTTTTTGTAAGTCACATTTTTTAAAAGGGGATTTGCATGTATTAAGTTTTTAGTTAAAAGATGTCAGTTTACATTTGTGTGGTAAAGTGGTAATATAAATTTCTACTTAATATAGTATAAAAATGAGTCAATAGCACAAATTTACTTGGAACAAAAGTTAGGCATTTTAAAACGTTTTAAATTTCGAGGAAAGCCCGCTGACATTGGGAGAATTCTGGGTTTAGCTCCAACTACTGTAAGAACAAGTTGTTATCGTGATGCGGACAGGATAAAGGACTATGGAAAATCTGTCACACACTTGCAGGCCAAATAAGCTACAAAAACTAGAAGTGCATTAATTGTAGAAATGAAGTTCTTTTTATCCATTTGGTTAGAAAGTAGAAGTAATGTTCATTCAGAATAAGGTTCTGTCCATATTCAATGAGTTAAAAGGTAATTCTTAATCAACAAGTCAACCAAAATATTTGGTAGTGTATTGTATATTTGGTAAATAAAATTTTTGGTAATAAAATATGTGCAGAAATTTGATTCTATTTACGTCACATTTTGTCAATCCCAATTAAGGACACAATTCGGGGTATTAGTGTATAAGAAATATCCCTTTCATTTTCACAAAAAAAAATCTAATTTACTTTTTATACAACCTAATATATTGCTCGAACTAATTCGCTATATAAATTACAAAATTCTATGACGTTAACATTTAAAATACAGTTTCGCTTAACCAGCAGTTGATAATAGAATAGTGGATTCATTACTTTGTCTTATTCCGTTTTCTGCTGGGTGCATTGAGCGTTGACGTTTAAAATAATTTATTTCTCTGAAATGATTTTACTCTCAATGTGACTGTGTTGTAAAGTGCATAAGAATCAAAAAATTTTATTTTTCTTAAATATTATCAATTTATTATATTATTTTTTTTAAATATGTAAACAATTTAAACAATTTGAGAAAATAAAAATCTTCTCTAAATTGAAGACTGTCTGAAATTATATATGAAATTTATTAATATTACACCTAAAATAATTAATATTGAATTTTATATTATATTTAAAATGTTTTTGGTACTATGGCAACTCTATCAGAAATTATTAGTCATATTGCGCTAATGCACAGTCTGAGAAGTTAATATAAATAGAGTTGAAGTATTTCTAAACGTTTTGTTTTTTAAGACTAATTAATAATCTTTAATATAAAATAAGTTTTATTCAACAACTTGAAATTCAAAAGAACTTAATCAATTTATTAAAGATGCAGGTGAGTTAAAAACCATTAAGAAAACAAACTACAAAATCGCGTGCATTGAAATACAAGGCAATGCCCATATTTGGTAGTAAAACATAAATAAATAAAATATTAATAAATTATAATTCGACTCATCATGCTTCTTTAACTTAGGATGCCAATGAAGATACAGAGTGGAATGATGTACTGCGTGCCAAAGGTATATTGCCACCCAAGCAGAAAGAGGCAGAAATTACTGAGGATCAAATTCAAGCAATGCTAGATGAGACAATTGCAAATCGTACAAATCTACAGAACGAAAATGGACGTAGTAAGAAAATTGATGATATGAATCTTGATGAGTTGGATGAATTGGAAGATTCAGAGGACGAAGCTGTACTAGAACAGTACAGACAACGTCGCATTGCTGAAATGCGCGCATTTGCTGAGAAGGCCAAATTTGGTTCAGTGCGTGAAATTTCAGGACAAGACTATGTAAGTGAAGTGACGAAGGCCGGTGAAGGTATTTGGGTGGTGCTGCATTTGTATGCAAATGGTGTACCCTTATGTGCACTGATACATCACCATATGCAACAGTTGGCCATACGTTTTCCGCAAACGAAATTCCTGCGCTCCATAGCAACCACCTGTATACCAAATTTTCCTGAGAAGAATCTACCTACAATATTTGTTTACTTCGAGGGTGAAATGAAAAAACAGTTTATTGGTGCATTCGAATTGCGTGGTGAAAAATTAACTGCAGAAGAATTGGAATATATGCTGGGACAAGTAGGTGCAGTACCAACAGACATAAAAGAGGATCCAAAACAGCAAATAAAAGATAAATTACTTGCTGATCTTGAAAGTCAAAGTGTCGATTTTTACTAGTGCAGTTTTTTTTTACAAATATGCTATTTTATATATTAAATTTTTATTATAAATTATTTCTATTATTTATTTACTGCCAAAAAAAATAGACAATACAAATATCTCTTCATAATTTATTCTTTATCTTTTGAGAACATTTGACGAGCTATGTTTCGTCGCGGCATTCGATCTGCCAAGTAATTTTGGTTTGCTCCTGAATATGTTCGGATCAATTAAATTATATGGATGCTCGGCCACTTGTTGCACAATTTTAGTGCGACGTTGCTCGTGTTCTTCGAGTAGATGTGGTGCAAGTAAAAGAAATAATTGCTGTAAAATAAATAATTTATATTAAAAATATACGTACAAGTAATTATAAACACGTTAAATAATTACTTCTGCCCAAGTTGGTAAACCAAAACTGGAGAAGCACAGCTCCCAGTATGGTAATCCAATATGTGCTATTGACATTCGTAAGAATTCACTAAATGTGTCCGCTAAAAATTGCCATTTAGATGTAAAATTTTCGAGCAGATAAAATTTGGGATTATTTGTACCCGTTGATTCATAAACTAGGCACACCTTGGGGCGGAAAAGCAGTTGAAATTATAATAACTAATTATATATCATGTACAGTACTACCTTTGCTGTTTCATTTACACTTTTTAATTCAAACACTTTCGATTTCGATGACATTACGGGTGTAGGATTGCCCCATCTGTCCTTAACAGGGTTAGATTGCGTAGGTTGTGTGATACTTGATTCTGAACTAGACATGTTTGGTGATTGTTCAATATTATCTCGTAAAAGAGATATTTCGGCAAGGTATGGGAAGTAAATAATTCCCACTTTTCGCATATCAGTTGCTAAGAAAATAAATTAATAAATATTATAAAAGTAGTATAAAATGATGCTTTGAATATACTCGGTAGCTCTATCTCAGACACAGAGCTTGAAACATTTTTTAAAATCTTAACAATATCTTAAAAGAAATCTATATAGAAGTTTACCTCTATCTAATATCGCTATGGAGCAAAAAGTAGTTTAGCAATAGTAGTTTTTTACATAGTTATTAATGTTAACGTCAATGCTATTAAGCAGTAACATTAATTTTTATACTAACGTGAGTATTGATAACTCCATTGTAGAAGAAAACCATCCGTTGATAGATAGAATTTTTTCATATCCTCAGGTAGATACACACAGTGTCTCTGCTCCCAATTTTGTATATGTGGTTTTTCACATGGGGCACGATGCTCACAGCATACATTGCTTATTCGTGGTACATTTGCTGGTAAAATGATAAAATTTTAAAATTAATGTAACACTTATTACATTATATTATCTTATTGATATTACAAAGTGTATTTACAAGACCCAATGTTAAATTTTCATAAAAAATTTCTTCAGGTGTTTGTTTTTTTGACATTTTGAATTGCTCTTTTTATATAATTTTCGTAACAGCGAATTTTATGAACATTGTAAACAAAAAATAAAAATAATTGTTACCATGACATTTTATTCAAAGTAGGCTAGTTAGTTTTAATTGTTTTAGTTTTTTTTTTTTTGGAAAAAGTAACGTTTTTGCATCTGGCACTGCAATTTTCTGCTTTATTCAACATGAATTTTGTTCACCACACTTTGAGCGCTACATATTAAGTTGTTCTACACGTTTCTACATGTTTTTTAGTTAAGAAAACTAATTTATATTATTTATTTTATTTTTGTCTCAACTTTAATATATTTATTAATCCTACAATTTATAATCCTCATCTATCCAATTTATCATAATTGGACTACAATAAGAGCTGTCAATCAGTGATTGAATCTTAGTCGTACTGTGGGCGTTAACTGTAAGGACTAAGAGAATGGAATACTGATCTCTAGAATAGAGATAAAAGTAAAAAACGGCTTTTAGCAGGTTAATAAGTTATTTGTAGTAAAAATTTATTTTAAAGTATTTTAAAGTAGTATTGGTAATTTTTCTCGTTCTTATACAATTTTATTTAAAACTAACAATTTTCATTTATTATTCTTTGCTTGTAACTAATTGTATCTTTTATGTAGCTAGAGAGGCCGCACTCTTTCTCCGTTTAATGTATCTATTATTTCCTCTCTTTCATTCGCCATGTATCTATTAAATTTAGCTCTTTCATTCGCCATAATTTTTATCACTATATTTTTTCGCCACGAACGCCACACATATCTATTTTTGAGCAACATTGCTTCATCATGCGTATTAGCCAGTGATTGAATTTTTCGAAAAAACCTGTCTTCGTATTTGAGAGGAAACTTGCTAGAATTTTAGTGAGTCTATTGACACTCAGATTCATGACGTGATTTATATATATAAAATGTAGTTTTAGCGTCTCTATATAAAAAGTTGACAATCCTATTTCTAAATGTAGCATATAGTTGGGCGTTTTTTACTGTAACTTAAATATTCTTTTTATGAAGTACCTTTGAAGCATTTTTACTTCGTTTAATTCGTCTATTCCCTAAACTTCTGCTGCATAAAAGAGGACTGATCTTATAGCCGCTTGAAATATTTTTTTAACAGTTTGGAGATAATCTACTAACATCTAAAAAAAATGAAGCTGACACCTTCTTTCCTAATTTCTGGATACGAAGTTAAATCAGTGCTGAAAAGCTGGATTCATAAAGGTCCTGTCTTCATTTAGAAACATGTTCATATACTCTATAAAACGCTACAAAAAATCCAGTTTTTTTAAACGCTCTAGATGTTTCTGCTCAAACGATTTTAAAACTGAATACACTTAAAGTATTTTGAAATAAATATATTTAATGAAAAATTCATTTCCCATCAATTTTTTCATTTGAAAATAAATTTATTAAAATAATTTAATTTAGAAACAAATTTAAGTAAAAGGGAACAACATCATAAAATTTTGTATAATTATAATGTATAACACTTCTTTACAAATTAAATTTTGTGCTAAATAAATAATTCCATAATACATTTTTATTTACACCTACTTAAATTCTTTTAAAATACCCAAAAAAAAAGTTTATAACCTAATTTTAATTATTAATATAAATGTTGTTATTTATTAAATTTATCCTTAATACTCGTCATATCTTCATTTTCTTCCTCTTCATGTCAAGAAACTTCCCAAACAGTTGATTCTATTGAACGTCTAGGTCGTGATGCTACTTCAACGTGAGCATCAAGACCGTCACTTAGACGACTGAAACGCCTCGCCCAACTGCCACGCCCTCCAAAGCTACTTGCAGCACCAATGCCCGCAGTTGTACTGCTGTTGCGGCTATTTGCATCACGAAACAAACTTAATAAATCCTGATTGTCGCCCTGCGCACGTTTTATACCATGTTGATACTTAGCTTCCTTTGCCAACAATTGCTCACGTTGCATTTGCGTTTTAACTTCGGCGGGTATATCCGGTATAATGAACTGCATTATTCCAGTGATAACAAAAACTAGATGCTGATTAAAAAAATTATATATATTAAGAATGAAGCCTTTTCTTTACAAGAATATTATATAATTCTACACTATACATATATATATTTATATATATATATATGTATACATATATGCATATATATACATATATAAAGTATAACTTATTTATCACTTAAACGTATATAATGATTACCTCAAAAATAACAACAAATGCCAGACGAGCAGCAAATACATGCCAATAGTGTGGACTTAAGCCATATGGTTCGACATCATTTGGTCCATTTCTAGAGTATAAATTACAATAATCATTTTAATTATTTCATCAATTTTTATTGTTTCGCGTATTACCTGTATCCTCTATACTGACAGGTATCTGGATCTTTTTCTGTTTTAGTGCCCCACTCTTCTTTGTAGTCAGAAGTATTAAATACAGAGAGCGAATGCTCTATATAACCTACTAATGTGTTCGTATCTGAATATACAAATTTATAAACCATACGTGGTATAAAGTCGCTGGTATACGCAATGACAAATGCATTAGAAACCACAGCAGTGTAGGTGATTATGCGTAGGATGCCATACCAAGCACCAATATCTTCGACACGTTCTGCCAAAGGACGGCGTGCTTGAGTTACCATTTTATATGCATCCAACCGAATTTCAGCCACATTGTTAAGCAATGCAAATAAGGGGGCCAATGGAAAAGCAGCAACAAAAAGTGTCACAAATCCATATTGTAGAACTGTATAAAATAATTCAATACTAAAAAGGCTTGCTATAAAGAAAATACCATATATGTACTTACTCATTTCTAAATATTCATCGAATAATGCCAAACGACCTGGATCCTGCATATGATAATCTTGCTCCCAAGCCATATGCAAATGAGATACATCTTTCGTAGCTTGTTTGTGCTTACGTTGACGCCACCAATTATAAAATTTTGGAAACAAATATTCCATAAAATTATTCCAACACTGTTTACCAACCATTATAATGGCCAATTGTATACAAAGTTCAGATAAGCAGCCAGCTGGGTCGCATATATCATTTTTGACACGAAACAATTCACTTCGGCGTGCTTGATCATCGCCGGGATAATCAAAAAATCGTCCTTTGAAGAATGCGATATATATAAGGGAAGAATAAAAATTCATGAACTCAAAAAAGAATATTTTAAATGTATATGAATCTTCATATTCCGTATGTGTACGTGGATTCTCTAAGTTTGTTAATTTGATTGCCATTTTATGGTAAATCTATAAAAATTAATGATAATATTAAAAGTCTGAATTTTTAAATTGTTTAATATAAAATGTCCCAATTTAAATGGTAATACATTTTTATCACATCACGTTCTGCTATTTTGTGTACTATTTATTCTCTAAAAATTATAAATTTATATGACAAAAGTCTTCTTCCATTTTTTGTTCAAGGATTTAGTACCATTTAAATTGAGATAATATATAAAGTTGCCTTACCCTTGTTAGTATCATTATTACCACCAAGTTAATTAGAGCAGCTGTGATTGTCGTAAATAGCTTCGCATGTTCTTTAACAAAAAATCCACCCCCACCATAAATAACTGAGACTAGCGATATACGATATATAATTGTACCTAAAACCGCCGAGAGCACAACTGCTATCTGTTTGGCAGCAAAATAATATATACATATATATTGTATATAAAACATAGGCACATATGATGTATTGTATATGTCAGGGTTATCCAAAGCACGGACCGCGGTCTACATGTGGCCCATCGCTAATTGCTATGGGGCCCGCGTCGTGTTTTTAATCTACTACAATTACGTTAATTTTCTTTTGGTATACTGGTAAAACTACATTATTTTATTTTTATGGTATACCAAATAAATGAGTTTAAATTAATAAATTAATAAAACTAAATTTTACATTATAACGTATTTTCGTCCGCGATCACATCTGTTTTGGACAGCTCTGGTATATGTTATATATTAGTTAATTTAAAATTACCATAAAAAGTACTGCACTGCCAGTTATTACAAATCGCACTATTCGACTCCATGTGGACATATATGGTTCTCTTTCTCGAGTTACCGGATTCATACGAAATGTCGTAGCATTTGTTTCAAATTCTGGTCGATTTTCTTCATCTGATTCAATATTATGCAAGTCCCATTCCCATACAATAACTGATTGTTTACGCTTCCATAATTCCAAAAATGTTGTTGCTGTATATGTTGTATATAAAACAAAAATAATATATTATCTATAAAGAATAGATTTTTTTGAGAAAGACTATATTCATTTTTATTTTGTCTTAGTTATGACGTATTATGACGCCTTTCAAAATGTCGTCTATCGGAAAAAACATTTTTTACGAGTATCTTAAGCTTAGTACTAACATTCGTTTTGCATAAAACATTTAGATAAAAAAATTATTAAAATATAAAATATAAAAAAATATTAAAATTAGAAAAATTAGAAAATTTCTTTATAAACAATTTTATAGAAATTTTTCGTGCGAAATGGATGTTATGTATTACTAGGGTTTATACTGAAACAACCAGTTAATATTATAGTGGCCTGAAGAGACCTACTATTTAATTCATAGATGAAACACGATCTAAGTGCAAGGTAATAGGAGAAAAAGTTAGTTAAAAAGATACTATCATGTATAATTTATTATTATTAACAAAAAACATATATATGTGGCCAATAAATAATTAATTTGGAAATAAATAAATTAATTAATTATTAAATAATTAATTAATAATTTAATTATTTTAGTTTTAATTAAAACTAATTACTGTTAAGGTGCTTTTGTACTTCTAATTTAAAAAATTAATTAGACTTAAACCTTAAAATTAATTAGATTAATTTAAAGCTTTCCGCTACAAATGCTATAACATCTATTATTTTATTATTACAACTTTAAAATATTTAAAACTTAAACGATCGAACATTTTTTTCAATTGTTCTTACCCCAAAAGGACATAAATATTGCAAAAAACACAGTCGATGGATTGTCGGAGAGATACGTTAGACGTGAAAACAAACAAGAATCATATAAATGCTGATAACTGCAAGCTTTGTCACATAGAGGGCATAAGGTGATATTTCCTGTTCCATATTCATTACAAATTTCTTTGCTTGGCGTATTATCCTCTGAATTCATTGATGCTAAACCGTATATAAAACACAGAGTACCAACAACTGCTGGATAAACTAGCATTTCTGTGTAGAAGCCCAGCCAACAAAAGTACAGAGCAATTTTGTCCCCAAAGTACTTTCTCACCAAACAGAGTGGCTGCTTTTTGTACCACTGAGAAGGATGAGCCCAAGTTAAGTACAAGCTACGTCTATCAAATTCTACTCCACTTGAATGTGGACGATCATATCGACCTTCGTGTAGAGGAAAACAACCTGAATATGTGGAATCATTTAGCAGACGACGTATGCCCAAACGATCGCTGTCATCGAACGGTGTACGTAAAAGCACCTGCATGACCATAAGAGAACGTTGTGCACTTGTATACGCTGTGGCACGATCTTTTACAATGAATCTGATAAAAGAGTTCACATTATTATAATATATTATTTTGATTGAAATTATACTTACTGTTCTTCTGGATTGCCATTCGCTGTTGCAGCCTTAAAAGTAGTCTCACCTTCCAATAATGTTTGATCCAACTGTATTTTACGCGTGACACGTTTCCAAACATTTTTCCAATATTGAAGATTACGTGCGACAACATTTTCCTCATCCTTGGCACAATAAATATTTCATTATACAAATTTACTTACCCAAGGTAAATACAAAACTGCTTACCCAAGGCGATTTTACAGATATTGTAATAAATCGCTTAACTGGTAATTTGAGATTCATCACTTCCGCTAAACGCGTTTCTAAACGCCATGGTACATGAATTTTAAGAAAATAAGTTTTCTCATTGAAAGATTGCGTTTTATCCTCCAATTCTACTTCCAGGCCTTCTTTTATTAGATTTTCCATAAATGCTCGTCTATGATCTCGTTTTCGTGATTCAACTTCAGTCATAACACCAAAATCTTCTTCCTCCCAAGCAAGTACCATATCGATTTTCCGACGGCCATCTCTAAACATAAGTGATTCTGGATCAAGACCCTAGATATTGAAAAAAAATATATATGTATTATAGTTGCTATTTTCATATTTTAATTTAATTTACGTCACGATCTTGTTTACTAATACGTCGTTGCTCTGCTTCGTCCGCTGTGCTATTGCATTTGCTTGTTTTACGACTACCGTAGTAGCTGCCATTTATACTGCCATCTATTGACGAGCTTTTAGAACTTCTTGAGCGATCTGTTTTTGGCATAAGTTGCTTGTAACCGAATTGATCCGGCAGTACATTTGAGTGTGAAGATTCAATCAATTCAGATTCAACAACAGCTTCGCTATCATGTTCACCGGCACTGTTTACTAATGGTGTAGTCAAGTGCAAACCTAACTCACGTCGCATTGCTGTACCTGGTATATCTTCAATATTTAGTACTTTAGGGCCAAAAGGCTGTGTCGGACTGGGTTCTGCTGAATCAGTCTCAAGATGTGTTGGCAGCGGTATAGCAATTCCTGTTGACTTATGATAACCACTTATTGAAGTGTTTAACCACTTCTCTGTGTACGTAGCTGACTTAGTTTGATTTGGAGCAAAAAGTTCATAATCACTGACATTTTGTGGCTGAGGCGTCGGTGATTTGTTGTCTTGCTGATTATAACTATTGCTTTGACGTTCTGCCATTAAAAAGTTGTACAGATTATCGGAGGATTTCGTTAAGGTATGATTTGTTTTTGATACGGCACTTAAAAAATGATTATCCTTTAAAAAACAAAAACTTATCTATAAGTATAATTATAATATACTTTAAAACACAAACATACTTCGCCGCTATATAAACGCCCTGCTATAATACCACTATCTTCACTCAATCTTCTTGCGCGCACTTTGTTAAAGATATTTGTACGTATTAGTCGTTCACTTTTTGCTGGACTGGATGATATTTCTCGTTTAGAGTGTTTTTCCGTATGGGGACGTGGGCTCCGTAATGCGGGTACGGAGAGAAATCCTAATCATTTTCGAAAGTTTAAATATTATTATAAGTATTATTGATTATTGTTAAATTAAAAAATCACAATTACTTGGAAATTGCTGCAGTACACTTGAGTGGCGTTCACTACTACCAATTAAGTCTTCTCGTGAATTTGATTCCGTAGTGGGTGACGCACTCTCATCATCCACGCTATCAACACGCATTTGAAAATGGGTCACCTCATATAAGTCACTGCACTTTTTTTCAAAATTTTCGTTGTTGTTGCTGTTGTCGATGTTATTCATATTGCGTGCTTTGTTAAACCAATTTTGAAATTATTTAAAATGATTTCATCTCCTCCTTTTTGTAAATACATGTGCTACTTATATCAAACCACCTTTAAAAATACAAATGGTAAAGTTTAATACCGAATTAGATATGTTCATTAATAATTTCAGTTAACAATTATTCTATTAAAATTACAATTAAAACTCCCACATACAAAGGAAGTACATCCTTTTTTATCGCAGCTTATTTTTGGAACTATTATTAACTAATTGCATGATAAAATTTTCGTAGGTTTTTAATGCATCTGTAAGGTTCCCACGCTTCCTTTCCATGCTTCCTTTCATTATTTGTTCTACATGTGCTTCAAGTGTAAGTAAAACAAATTAGTTCCTATTATTATCCGGTTTAATAAAATTAAGACTTTCTTAATTAATAAATAATTAATTAATAATAATTAATTAATTAATAATAACTAATTAATTAATAATAATTAAGCTAAGACTTTCCATTAATTTGTGTTTATTATGATTTCAATAGTCTCTAATGATAATGTAAATTGGGCTTTGGAAAGTTACAATTCTTGATAGAAGTAAACAAATCTTGAAGGTTTTGATACTTATTTGAAGTTAAAGATTTTTTTTAAAAACGTGCTACAGTGGATGTTCAAATTGTAGAGTCAAATTGTTTCACGTGTACTACTATCTGACATATAACAACTAATAAATACTACTTTAAGGAAATCAAACATTTGGTGCTGTTATATCGGCGATTGATAATTAGAGACCTCGCTTATTCTATAAGCATTTTATTAGCACAAGTACATTTTGAAAGATCTTGGGACCATGAAAAGAATCAAATTTTCTTTGGTGCCAAAAACGGTTAATGCTTTTTGATTAATAGGATACTCGTATGATGAAATACATTATATGTGTCTTGAACCTATGCATACGACCTGGGAGATCGTGTCAAAATAATTTGAAAATCAAGGACAAATTAATACTTTTCTTTGTTTATGTGAAGCTGTTTGTAAAAAGACGCGAATTAATTCATTTTGCAATGCATTGGTGCTTGGAGAACATTTCTACAAAAATTTAACTCATTCGTTCCAAAATTATTGTATTGGTCTGATATAGCACCGTGTGACATCTAGTTTTGTCCTTAGCTCAACAAACCGTTCAGAGTACACATTTTCGATACGATTGTGGAGATAAAAACCGAATCGATGCACGCTTCGAGATTATTCCGAGAATCGATTTTAACAATTGTTTTAAGAATATAAATAATAATGTATTGCATCGAGGGGGAAGTACTTTGAAAATAATAAAATAGAATCAGAAAAAATTAGTATTTTATATTTATTTTGATTAAAGTAATGACTGAATTTTCGTGGCTTAAATTGCACTCTAAAAATTAAATTACGCAGCGAGTGTGTAAGGCCTTCCTCAGAATTTGTGTTGCAGTGCTTTTTAAAGGCCTTTTCTACACAGCGAGTGTGTAAGGCCTCCGATATTGGCTCATCCAGAACAAAAAAGAAATAGTTAAAAATGCAAGTGTGTAAGTACTACTTACTGCAGAAAAAGGCCTTTAAAAAGGCCTTTTTACTCCTTATTTCTGCTACTGGGTATATCTTTGCGATTAGTAACCACATTCTTTGTGAATGTAGGGCTTCGATGACAAGAACTACTATGGTTGCAGCTGTTTTAACTACGTATCCAGAAGCTTTGTTTTTTCTATTAATTTTTATACTTTTCATTTAAATTTAATTCTAACATATTCTGTTTTGTTTGTTCTATACTTTGTTCTATACTATTCATTATTCAATTTTAAACGGTATTCTATTTCATGTTCTATTTTATTCTATTCTGTTCTGTTCTACTTTAATCTATTCAATTGTTTTTTATTTTTTATATTCTAATTTATATTTTATTCCACATTCTATTTTATATTATATTCCATATTATACTTTATATTCTATTCTGCATTCTATTCTGCATTCTATTCTGTATACAATTCTCTATTATATTCCATATTCCATGTTATATTGTATTCTATATTCTATTATGTATTATATTCTACTCATTATTCTATTCTATTCTATATTATATTCTATATTCTACCTATTTTTTATACTATTCTATATTTTATTTTATATTATATTTTATATTTTATTCTTTATTGTATTCCATATTCTTTTCTATTTTATATACTATTCTATTTTATACTATTCTACATTATATTCTATTTTCTATTCTATTCTATATTCTATTTTATTTTATTCTAAGAATGTAAATCGTTTTGTATTCTTTTTACTTTTTTTATATTCTCTGTGACGAAAACTGAACATTTGTAAATAATCGACCACACTTCCGATTGTATTGAATAAAAATATTTAAGATTCTGCCCAATATTACAAGTTAGGTTAAATTAAGAGTTGATATTTTACACATGTTATCAATATAAATTTATTTCGTCCTTTTTCACACTGTGAAAATAATCTCAATAATCTAAATTTATATGTAATACTCGCATATTACAAGTATGTGAATTCAGAGCACTGCCTTCAACTATTAAGTATACCCTATCTAATAAAACCCATAATTGCACAGGTCTATCAATTGGCCAATTTAGTGGTATATTTAAAAAGTAATTGACCTTTAACCTTTGAAGTGTACTACTTTCAATTTATAATAAATAGTTTTTCTCATAAATGAAGTTACTCGCATTAATTTTTTTAATACAAAAATGTACTTTTATTTGAATTAATAATATCATTTTAGGGTTAAAAGCTACTATGTACGAGTATATTTATTCACGAATACATTAGACCATATTGCCTGTTCAGTAGTTTACATATAAAATTTATTTACTATAATATTTTTTGTTTCATTTTGTTTATACAGCCATCGGAAAGTCAGTTCCATGTATGGTAGACATACAATATATATAAATTTGTAAAATTTTTGTCATTAGTGCTTGAAGTGAAGCCACAAGTTGTTTCATTTTTTTCATAGACAAAGCAAATACCCCATGTTTATTAACGCAATGTTCATGTATTATGTATATTAAGTGTAGAGAGAACTTGTAATCAACTATTTATTTAGTAGCAATTCATTAAAGTGGAAATTTTTATAATTTAATACATATACTATACAGTTCAGTGCATTTGCATAAATCATTAAAATTGTTCATGACATTTATGACTAGATTGTAATCTAGATTGAGATTTTTACTCAAAAATTATTATAGTTAACAAAGCATATTTAAAAAAAATTCTAATTAACCAATTTTTGAAATACATTTAATTGGAAAGAGATATGTTGCAGTCTTGTTCAAAAACATCTAAGCCCGTTGCTAAGGATTCAACAGAGTTTCACATAGATCACTATTTATCTTATAGGCCTAATAATATGAAATTAATATCTTTAAGAATGGTTTTATTATTTTTCAAAATTTTCTTATTTATGGTCTTCACATTTTTGTATTCGTTCGAGATAGGATTTTATCCATTCAGCTTCAACAAGTCACTTGTTTGCACCAATGACCGTTGGTTTTCCACATATCTTCAAATACTTCTAGTAAACTAGTGGTAATGTGTCATTTGACATTTATTGTTTCACATTTCTTTAATAGTATTAATGTCATAAATAGTTTTTCTCGAAAAGACAAGCAACCAAATATTGCGAAGGGCTTGGAGCACTTCAATTTGTTTAGTTTTACGATTCGTCGCCCTCCAAAACTCTTATACACATTTTTTGAAGCATTGTCCTTCCATTTGATTAGCATCAATCGTAATATAAAAATATAGAGATTAAATCTATCCCGTCGAATTCAGATAATTTAATAGGTCTCTCGTCTTCACCGATGAACAGTTTGATAGACTGTCAAACAAATATCTTCCTAAAAACCTATATTTTCTGAAAGGCAGAGCCGGGCATTCACAGAGAAAATGTATTATGGTTTATTTTTCCTGTGGGTTTCCACAACTTTACTGTAAGGATTATAAGGAATACTCAGTTTCTATACACCAATAACCATAAAGAACTGCTGTAACCCTTGCAATGTTCACGCGGTCTCTTTTGATGAGTTCCGAGGATCTAATTTTATTATACGTGTGTCATGTTAACCTGAAAGTTGCACATGACTTAAATGTTTTCAATTTGTTATTGACAAATTGAAGAAAGTAGAGAAAAGTACTTCTCTAGGGAAATATATACCGCCAGGGACACATCCAGGGAAACACCGGAGCGGGCTAAACTGTCAGCTTTTTCGTTCCATTCGATGTTCCTATGTTCAGGAATCCAGTTGAGGGTGATGTCAGCCAACCGATTTAGCTCGTCGATTGCCTAGCTACAAATAATTTTACTATTTTCAATTGTGTTCTGAAGGAATCAAGGGATTTGATTACTGCTTGGCTGTCAATAAAGATGACCACACTACATCTGTCCTTAATGTGATTTAACTTGATAATTGCTTGGAATTATAATTTTAAAATATACGATTGGTATCATATAACATACTTTATAAATGATTCTAAATCCAGTTTGATTTCATTACAAATTGTGGACTGACATTGTGGACTGACTTTTACAGTTAAAACTTCCATAATCTTAGAGCTCTGTTGATGACACAGCACTGAACAAACATCCATAGCAGTAGGAGTTGAAATATTTCGTTCAAGTATTCTTAAACCGGCATTTCTTTCGGCTCTAGAAGTTAGACATTCAAAGTTAACCATTTAATAAATGAGGCATAAGTAATTATGGCCATGATGTTTTTCGTGTATATTACATAGACTACGCATAGTAGCGTATAATTCCCATCGTATTTCAAAGGTTTTTTTACAGAAGTAATAACGACTTAGCGGTTTCTTAGTTCTATTCTCAATATTTATTCTTTACTTTAGTTTGAAACAGTTAAGTTTAAAAAAGTTATATATATAAATTTATAAATAAAAAAATTATATATATTTAAATAAAAAAATTATAAATATATAAATAAAAAACTTTGTCAGTATAAA